GAGTTCAGCACCGGAGAGGATGGGCGACAAACCCTGGAAGTCACGTACAAGGAAGGCGTGTTTGTAGGTTACCGTCACTACGACCTATCAGAAGAAAACCGTTCCAAGGTTCTCTTCCCATTCGGTCATGGTCTATCCTACACCACCTTTACGCACGGAAACCACAAAGTCAGCATTGCCGGCGGAGACTCAGTGGAAGTATCGGTGGACGTCACCAACTCTGGCACCTATACCGGCGCAGAAGTTGTCCAAGTGTATGCCGGTTCCAAGTTGGCGGTCCCTGAGAACCCTACCAAGGAACTTGTCGGGTTTGTCAAGGTGCGTCTGGAGCCGGGAGAGACCAAGACTGCCAGCGTTACCTTTAGCACACGCCAGCTAGCTCACTTTAACGAGCAAAACAGCAAATGGGAGGTGCCATCAGGCGAGTATGAGGTGTCAATTGGCCAGTCTGTGAGAGATATCATTGGAAAGGCAGTGGTCAATGTTGGAGCTCTTAGCTACGACCCTTAAGGTCAATGCAGCTACTGCACATTAATTCACTTTTAAGCGTTTCACTCTTGCCAGAATCTCCATTCATGTAATCCACCAACCCGGGGTTGTATACTGTATAGCATCACATGACTGATCTTCAACCATCGCACAGTCCTCCCCGGCCTCAACCTTAGCGGAACGTCAACAACTGTGACCTGCCAGTTAGACAATCGAATGCCGAAACTGCGCACCTTACGCGTACGTCATACCATGATACACCTCGAAGTGGCCATTATTGACTCTCAAACAGTGCATCCACAGACCGCTTAGAATTGCTTTTTGGTCGGCAAATCTTCGGGACTTTTTCCCTCCCCCCATCCGGCGGTCCCTCCAGGACCCAATAATCGGAGTCGTGAGAACACCCGGGGGTCTCCAGACCCCATATTCTTCTCCATATTCCATGTGGTTTCCCCACGCATTTCTTTCGCATGGCAAAACTATACAAGTTTAGAGCAGAACTAGGCAGTTGAAATCGGTTTATTTGCCCCCGAGTCGATCGTACGGGGTCCCGGACGCCCAATCGGCGCGGGCTGCGAATAGAGTTTGTCGGCCCAGTTCATGTTTCTTTTTCTGCTCCGGCCTGGTCTCTCTCCTTTTTCCGATTCGGTTTTTGACGTACCCTCCCTGCTTGCTGTCATCGTCCCAATGCGGGCATTTATCCCTGCGGCACTGCATACCTACATGAATCACGGAGTCGGGCGGGTATGGGATTTGCAAAAGAAGGAAGGAAGATAAATAGATTGTCGGCCCGGCGTGAAGTTTGATGCCTCTCCAGTCTCCACGGTCCACCGCTCATCCCTTACTTTGATTCTAACTCGGGGCCCCTTATTACTTGCTCTTCTTTCCCCTTCTCTGCGATGGAGAAGGCCAGTGTGGAAATGGTCGAGAAGACCGACGATCAGCAGCTGGGCTACCTCGCCGACTCGGAAGATCATGATCTGACGAAATGGGAGAGCCTTAAGAAATATCCCTTGACCTTTTTCTGGTGCATCTATGCCGTCTGGTGTGTACTCTTGGTCAGCTTCGAGAACCAGGCGGCTGGTACGGTCATTTCAATCCCCCAGTTCCGTCAGGACTTTGGTAGCTTCTTTGGTGGCGACTATGTACTGGACACCAAGTGGCAGTCAGCATTCAATGGCGGACCCGTCGCGTCTGCAGTCGTGGGCGCTTTATGCTCCGGGCAGATCGCAGATACCGTTGGGCGAAAATGGACGATACTTGGCGCTCTCTTGATCTCCGTGGCCGGTGTGACCTTGGAATTCGTCTCGACGACAAACGAGATGTTCTTCGGCGGCAAATTCCTCAACGGCTTCGCTCTTGGTGCTCTCGCATCTGTCCCCGTCACCTACGTTGGTGAAATTTCCCCTCTAGCCCTACGTGGAACGCTAACCTGCCTGACTGCGCTGGCCTACTGTGTTGGTCCTTTCGTGGTTGCGCTGATAACGAATACTACTGGAACCTACACCACCAGATGGGCGTACCGCGCCGTCTTCGCTGCCCAGTGGGGATACGCTGCCATCGCTCTGGCTTTGGTACTCTTCATGCCTGAGTCTCCGTGGTGGCTGGTCTCCAAAGGTCGTGAACAGAAAGCCCTCTCCAGTCTATCTCGCCTCGGATACAACGAAGCTGAAAGAACCAAGAAGCTCTCCTCTATCAAAGTCACCCTCGAGCAGGTCCGTCACGAGACTGAAGGCGCAACCTACTTTGAATGCTTCCGCCGCTCGAACCTCCGCCGAACAATCATATCCATCGCCCCCCTTTCCATCCAAGCTTTTTCCGGCGTGATCTTCACTGCTTCCTATTCGACGTATTACATGCAACTGGCCGGCTATACCAACGCAATGAGCTTCCGTCTGCAGATTGCACAACAAGTCCTATCTATCGTCGGCAACATCATGTCATACTTCATGATCGATCGCCTTGGTCGCCGAAACCTCATGGTATTCGGTCTATTCATAATGACATGCATCCTCATGATCACCGGCGGACTCGGGGTCGTTTCCTCCGACAAAACAAACCCCAACTCCGACGGCGCTGTTAAAGGCACAGTTGCCCTCATCCTAATTTACGTCTGGTGGTACAACTGCACCATCGGCGCCGCCGCATACACCATCCTCGCAGAAGTCTCAACATCCAGACTCCGCGTCAAAACAATCGCAATCGGCCTCGCCCTCCAGAACGCCCTTTACATGATGTGGTCCTTCGTCCTTCCCTACCTCTTCAACCCAGACAAAGCAAACCTAGGCGCCAAGGTGATGTTCATTTTCGGTGGCCTTTCCGTTATCTGTCTCGTTTATCTTTGGTTCTACCAGCCTGAGACTGCCGGTAGGACTTATGCGGAGTTGGACGAGATGTTCTATAAGCGGATTCCGGCGCGGAAGTTCAAGTCTTATGAAACGGATTCCCAGAATATAGGGCTGGGTGTTAGAGCGGTGAATGATAGTTCCAGAGTGTGATGTGTAGCGGGCTTTTTATTTTTTCTTGTTTTTGATGCGATTCTTGACTTTTTATGAGCGTTGAATACTGCTATATATATATACAGCATAGTGTACCATAGTTATATAAGAATGAATCATGTCGGTTTGGTCCATGGTCTCGTCACGGCTGAAGTAGAAGATCATAAATAAATCTATATTTGAGTGTTCTATTCCTCTATTTAACCCGAAATTTTTAAATCTCATGGTTTACTTGCGCGAAGTAATCTCGCCTCCGCTAAGCAACCCGGCCAAGACGACCTTAATCTCCTCCAAGAACCTCGTAACCTCCTCCTCCGTACCAACCGTGATTCTCAGACACCCTTCACACCCAAGCTCCTTACCGCGGAATCGCACCACAACACCACGTTTCTCGGCCATGGCCTCGTACGTCCCCAGCGCAATGGGGTTGCTAGGCTTGCCGCCCTGGTCCGCAGGCTTATCGAGGATTTCAACAAGGAGGAAGTTCGACTCCGTGCCGCCACGGAAGCGCCCGATACCAGGGACCGAAGGGAGTTCCTTGATAAGTCGGTTGCGTTGGGTGATGATGTTCGAGCGGTAGGCACGCATCACTTCTAAGTTTTTGGGATTCCCAAGTGCCGCAGTTGCGAGCGCGCTTGTTGGGCTGGAGATGTTGTAGGGTGCTTTCAAACTGTTGAGGAGGGTTGCGATTTCGGGGCTTGTGAATGCAACGCCTAGCCGGATACCTGCGAGGCCGAAGGCCTTACTGAGGGTCTGCATGACGACTAGGTTGGGCCATTCGGCTACCCATTCTGCGAGACTAGAGCCCTCGGGGGCAAAATCGATGTAGGCTTCGTCGACGACGACGACGCCATTCCACGTTGGGTGTTCCAAGACTTTCTGGATGTCGGACTTGGCGATTAGGTTTGCTGTTGGGTTTCCAGGGGAGCAAATGTAGGCGAGTTTAATTGTAGGGTCGGCGGAGAGGGCGGCATTGATCTTTTCAGGTTGCAGGGAGAATCCATTCTCGGTGTCTAGAGGCACCTTGACGATCTCAACGTCGTTGACGTCGGCGCTGACGGAGTACATGCCATATGTAGGTGGGCATGTGAGGATTTTGTCTTTTCCGGGGACGCAGAAGGCGCGGAGGAGGGCATCGATGGCTTCGTCCGATCCGACTCCGACGAAGAGGTTCTCTGGGGTGATGCTCTTATCCGTGTGGGCGTGGGTGTTGCGGAGGTTGCAAAAGAGTTGTTTGAGGGGGTGCTGGTGACTTCAATCAATCAATTGCAGTTAGTATTGCGAGATCTGTAGTAACTATAGGTCTAGTGCACGTACGGATCAGGATATCGGTTCAATCCCAAGAGATCAATGTCGGGCTTCGATGACCCCGTCGAGCCGCCATTGGCCGCTGAGTCCTGGAGAGCACCCTCGGGGTTCAGGGCCAGACCGGGGCCATAGGCGTTCTCATTGGCATCGAGTAGAACATTTGTCCCATCATCTTTGTAGTCACTAATTCAATTGTATTAGTCGCGACGCCGGTTGCGGAGGAGCGGGATGGTGGCGGGGTACATACTCTCTAGCGCAACGGTAAGGCTGCAGTTTTAAAATGTTCTTGCGCGCGCATTTGGAGAGATCGAAGGCGGAAGGTTTTGAGGCCATTTTGAAGCGGGCTCAGGGAAATGGTGAGGTAAACGGTCTTCCGTCTTGGTTGGGTGGAGGAAAAGAAGAAATGACGGCGGGGAGTGGCGGGGACCGCGGAGCTTATATAAGTGTACAGATCAACTATGACTCAGGCCGCTGCAAGATGATTCTGCCCTGGCATGCAAAATTGTGAATTGTATCTTGAATGAGTATATTTATTGGTCTTTTCCAATGAGCTAGAAATACATCAAGAGGTACATCTTTCGTATTTCTATACAGGTAACTGTAGCCTTAGTGTATAAAGTTTTAATATAGACCACCACCATCAATCAGGTCAACGCCGTGATATGCTCTAATATAATAATGACAGCGCACAAAAGTTTACCATCTCTATTCTTTCTTAGTCTCCTTTGGAGTCTCTTCGCTTGGCTCTGGCTCCTTTTTTCCCGAATTCTTCCACTTATCTTGCTTTGCTTTAAGATAACGCCAGGTTCGAGATATCCCCGCAGTGAACAATCCCTTGACCGTCTCTACAGAGCTTGGCCACCGAATCGTCTTAGTGATCGCGCCCTGTATTTCTTTCGTGAGGCCATCGTCACTGGCAATGCGCTGCTCGAAAGGCCCACCTTGCCTGCGGCGAACAAGCTCCGGGTCCTTGTCATTACTATCCTTCATCATCTTCAAAAATTCCGCGCGAGGGATCCCGAAACGCGTCTGATACTGGAAGTACAGCCTCTCCCGGAAAGACTCGGGTAGTCGGCGAACCATGTTTCCGCGCTTTACAGGGTCCATATCTTGCGTCAGCCGCACATTGGCCTCGGGATCATCAATCCAATCTTCGGAAGAACAGCGACTGTCGTTAAAGACAGCGTTTGGCAAATTTTCGATGAGCGGTGCATATAGCCGCCTGAAGTTAGCCATCTGCGAAGAAACGATATTGTTGACTTTTTTGGGGTCTTCTACAGGCAATGCCATGCGGAGGTCACCCATATAGCTGATGGATGCTATCGTGTTGTACAACTGGAATTCTGTAAACTGCTCCGGTAGCAGTAGTAGAGCGACCCGAAGAGCAGACAAGAGATTCATCTGGTTCGCGAGTCGTACCTTCGGGTGGTCCCGCAGGATTTTGACAGGCTTTTGCAGTCGGCCCGCGAGGTATAACGTATCCCATTGGCTGAGGTCCTGGCATAGTGTGTCAATGTTCACAACCCCGTACTTGATCAATGTGCCGTTGACGGTTATATAGGGATTGAAGTAAACCCCTGCCCCGAATCTGTCTTGCACTTGCGAGACTGTATAAGAACCGAGGGTGCGCAGCCCTGAGTAGTGATCGCGGTGCTGCGCAAGATTTAATGAGTGCCAGTGTTGCGAATAAGATACACCAAAGATGAAATCAATCATCTTTCCCTTGCCTTGCTGCATGTTCTGGATTGCCGCCGGGGCTGACGGATGGCATTGTTCGGAGCCCGGCGCGCTGCCATTTTGGGGGAATACACCAGATCCATATGCAAAGGCATACCGAATTGGTGCTCTGAACTGCCAAAGAATTTGTCGCAATGCTTCCTTAAATTCTTGGTTGATTACCATGTGCTGGTTTATTCCGAAATCTTTCGAGGGAAGCTCGGAGAAAGCCGAAATAGCCAGATTCGGGTTCGCGTCCCAATCACCGTTGTCTAGCGCCTTGGAGGAAGTTGAGAACGGAGCAGAAGACGGCGACAATAATCCACGGTCTGGACCAGAGTGTTGCACACCGGCGCTACTATATGATGGGGATCGGTGGCCGGGGATCGTCAAACCGGCATTTCGAGGATGAATCGCATTTTGTTCGCTCGAAAAATACCGACGCGAGCCCTGTCTTCGAGTATACCGCGGGAGGACCGGGTAAGCCGAGCGAAGACGAACGTAGGGACCCGAAGCAGCGTTCGAGAAGAGGAGCTTGAATGCAGGTATCGGTTAGCATTAGGGTGATCGGGCAAAAGGGGGACGCGATGTCTTACTGTAGTTTCGCGCATTGTCGCGAGAGGGAAAGAGGGAGACATGGCACACTTGCAGGTTCAGACCATGATTCCCAGGCTAAAGCTGTAGGGAGGATGACGATGGAATGGAGTAGCTGGAGTGATCGATGGAGCTCACTGTGGAATTATTATTCATCGACTCTCCGATCGATAACCGTCCGCGAGCACCGAATCTGACGTATCCTCGGCTTTGTGTCGGTGCCTCAGGCAGGTGTTCTATCACGTGCCGCCGTTCCTCCGCAGGCGCGTCCGACCGCCCAGACCTAAACAAAGGCAGTAAACAATCAATCCCCTCGCATCAGACTCACGGTCACCACATCTCGATTGTACCGGTCTCGATGCTCGTGCAAGATGGCTAACGAAATGGAGACGTTTGCCGCCCGTCTGGCTACCTTTGACCTTGTTCTGCACCCAGATAGGCGGTCTTCTAGCTCAAAATCCGCGAAGCCGATCACATGGCCGCACCAGAGACCTTCTCCAGCTGAGGTATACTAAACTCCCAAATGAATAATTGAAGATTTAATCCATGCTAACCAGTTTATTGTATAGCTCGCACATGCCGGTTTCTTCTACAATCCTTACGAGACGAATCCAGACAATACAACATGCTTTCTATGTCGAAGGGCTCTCGATGGTTGGGAAGAGGAGGACAACCCGATTACGGAGCACTTAAAGCATGCGAAGGACTGCGGATGGGCTGTTATGATGGATATTCAACAGCGTAGCTCGAATCCAGCTGAAATAGAAGACCCGACCAGTGAAGCCATAGCCCAGGCAAGGCTGACAACCTTCGGTGAATCATGGCCACATGATGGCAAGAAGGGCTGGCTGTGTCAGTCAGACAAGGTAATTCCCGTCTCTCTAGTACCGATTTGAAAAAATCGAGTATCTAATGGTTGTTGTTATTTGCTGTGGTAGATGGTTGAAGGCGGATGGTATTTCTGCCCGAACGAAGAAAGTGCAGACCTGGCGAGCTGCGCCTACTGCAAGTTATCGCTCGATGGATGGGAGCCCAAAGACAATCCATTGTAAGTGATTCACTCCTTTCGTGCTATGCTTTACTAACCAATCTAGCGACGAACATTACCGCCGTTCATCTGACTGCTCGTTTTTCGTATTTGCAAAGCCTGCCAAGGGGAAGGGTACACGATCTAAAAAGGGCCGTACCTCAAAGGCTTCCCGCCAGTCAACTCAGTCTACTGCGTCTGAAATTTTGCCTTCAGACGTTGAGGATCAACTGGATCAAAGTGTGTCGTCCCAGCCAGCCAAGGCCAAATCCACGAAAAAGTCATCCAAATCGAAATCAAAAACCTCCAAATCCAAGAAGGACGAGCCTCGAGAGACGGAGAGTCAGATGGACGTCGATGAGGCCGAAGACGCCCAGCCGGAAACCTCAAGGCCAAAGCGTAGTACACGGGGAAGAAAGCGATCGAGTACCGAGCTGGATAAAGACACGATGAGCATCGACGACGAAAATACCATGGATCAGCCAGAACCACCCTCTAAGAAGAGAGCCACGAAACGGAGTACTAGTCGTGCTCGAGCGCAAAGCATAATGTCCACCGATAGCGTTACGGATGTTCCTGGCTATGAGAGTGAGGCCACACACGATGAAGAAGGTCAGAAAACGGGCCGTGGAAGGAGCAAAAAGAAGACAGCGAAGGGTCGCAAGGCGTCTTCTACTTCAAAGAGCGCGCCAAAATCCCGCCTTCCTCGAGATTCAGAGCTTGAGGCGGCGATTGAAGCCGGTCTCGAAGGGGACGAACCTCAAAAGGACGAACCACAAAACATGGAAATTGAAGATGTGAACACCGAGAAGACCACATCCAAGCCTGGCCCTAAGAAATCGAAATCTAAGAAGAAGAATGCAAAGAAGGACCCGGAACCATCCAATGATGCAGTTGACCAACGAATGATCGACAATGATGCGGTAGCTGAGCAGCAAGATCCTGAACCTGAGCCCGTGCCTGTCGAAACGCAAGCCAAACGTCGCAGCTCAAAAAACACAGCCGACCAGCCAAATACCATTCCTGACCAGCAGTTGGAAGCACAAGACGTTGAAGAAGAGGATGGTCGTCGGAATGAATCATTTGTCTCAGTTGAAATTGTATCAAAACCTCTGGCGGAATACTCTCAAGTAGAAACAAACGAAAAAGAGAGCAAAAAGACCAAGAAGAAAGCATCCTCGGAGAAGACGAAAAAGTCCAAGAAGGGTGACAAGGCCGACAAGAAAGCAAAGACCACAAAGACAGAAGAGACAGAGATGGCAGAGGTCGAAAGGGCCCAAAGGCCTGACAAGCGAGAGAGCGAGCAGCCTGAAGCTGAAGCGGAAGAGCAGTTGCCTCAGGCGTCGCCGTCACGTACGCCAGAACCAAGCAGGCAGGAACATGTGGAAAAAGAACCCTCGCGCCGCAGATCCTCTAAAGTGCCTCCGAAGACAGCTGAGAGGTACAGTGACATCTCACAAGACAAGCAATACGCCCGTTCCGTTGCATCCGATAGATCGCCGGAAGACACTCGTTATAGTAAACAGGACCAGCAAGAGGAACCCGTGTCTCCGCTGCCGTCTGCTTCAAGGGGAACTCCTTCACTCTCACCCCAATCCTCTGATGCTGAGAACCATCCGCCTTCCATGAAGGCGTCGGCGCCTCGGGCCCAGCTGTCGTCCCCATCCAAAAATACATCTGTTAGATTTCCTCTGGGGACGAGTACTCCCTCTCCTTCAAAGCGGAATACTTCACCAGGAAAACTCAAGTCGTCTCATCCGTGGGTTCCCATCGATATCGATGAAATCCTAGTAGCCAGTTTGAGCGATAAGGAGAATACCGGTCTGCAGAGTGCGTTGGGCAACTTGAAAGGGGAATTGGAAACTCCCGAAAAGAAAATGACAGTAGAGGAATGGATAATGTGGAATGCAAAGAACGGTGAAGAGAGACTTAAGCGAGAATGCGAACGGCTAGTTGGGCAGTTTGAGAAGGAAGGCGCGCGAGCAATGCGCGCATTGGAGGGGATCGAGTGCGTAGATTGATTGAAGCAGGACTGTCGACGATTCAGGCACTTGTTAGGAGTTCGGGGGGCTTTGGGGTATGGCGTTGGGTAATCTGGTTGTCTATGTTTTAATGAGTGATATTGACTATCTTCAATGCAATCTTGCCGAATAACATCACGGCATATCGAGCGCCTTTTTTTGGACCAGACTCCATATCAAAGCAAACCGGGGTATATACAATTAGTAGTACAGAAAAAGTCTTTCGTTAAAGAACAAACCAATGCGAGGGCGCACGGAGTTCGACTAAGCAATGATGCCCAATCGGCCCTCCCAACTGTCTTCCTGTTTGACCTCGCTGTTGCCTTTGCGACGCTTCTCGTTCCTCTTCCGTCTTTTCTCCTCACGCTCTTTGGAAAGTTGCTCTTCTCTGTCCTTGAGTCGCTCTCCCAGATCCATCTGCCAGACCATGCGCTCCTCTTCCTCTCTCACTCGCTTCTGGTGAGCCAGCATTCTCAACCGCTGGCGTACATCGTCCACCGTAGCCTGGGCTACCTCCCCGCTCTGACCGGTGGCAATCAAGTGCTGCTTGCTATTCAAGTGCTCCACCAGCTGCAAGTTATCCTTGAACGTGAGGTCACAGTCAGAGCAGTAGAATCCCGCACCTTTACCACGCTTTCCCACCGCATTTGCCGCAGAGACAATCGTCGTCTTGCCAACCATGGAGGCGACATCGAGGCGCTGTTTGCGGGAGGTGGTAGCTTCAAGCGAACCGTAGTCGACGGGCGCGTGCCATTTCTTGCCGAGTAGTTTGGCCTCATAGCGGGCCTTTCCTTCTTCTTTCCGCTTGGCTTCCTCTTCTGCGCCTTTTTTGGCGTATTCCTCGCGGTCCCAGCTCTTGCCGCCGAAGGTGTCGGAGGTGGGGTTTCCGTAGGCGGACTTGTTGGCAGACATTGTGGCGATTATTGAAGGGTATGCGGAGCAGTTTGTCTTCTGAGGACTCACTAAACAGGGTATCTCGAGGTGTCGTCTGCGAGAAGAGAAACTGATGCTGTGGCGGCAGAAAGATGAGCTGCGTCGGAAACAGAAAGCGGTGTGCTGAGGCTGAGTGTGGCTGACGTTCCCCTCCATCTCCACCATCCGTCCATCATCCATCACCATCCATCTCGTCCTCGTCCAATTTGATGTCTGAAAGTCGACCCAGATGGTCTCTGGCATCCGTCCATAACCCAACTGAATTGCAGCAGAGCTCTGTTTGTGATCCACCAATGATGATCGTTTTCATGTAGTTTTCCGGACAGGTGATCCTCTTGTTTCAGATCGATGCACACGGCCCAATGACGCTGTGGCATCTCGTATTGCTTTGATCACTTGAGTCTACTTAAACCTCGCCGCCTGCAGGAGCTGAAACATCTCCATTCCCTGCTTCGGTTTTCTGTGTATTCTTTCTTTTTTTTGGCGCCTGCCACGCTGGTCTCCTCGAGGCTGCTGCGTTGTTCCTCGTTCATTAGGCAGCGATTCTGCCCCCATTGTCCTGATATCATAGCTCTGTCCAATATCACATTCACTGACTGCACTGCCCCTGCGGCTCAGCGGATCACCCCGTCTTGACTGCTTCTTCTTTCCCTTCATTTAAATACATGGTCACTGCTTTTATCTTTCTGTCTTCATCGATTCATTATCCTTAAGCATATCTAGCGATGGCAGCTCCTCCTCTAAACAGCACGCCAGATGCACCACCACACTTCAGGCTGATGGACCTTCCCGCAGAGCTGCATCTGCACATCTCATCGTTCCTCTCGTATCCAGATGCATTGGCGCTGAAGCACACCTCTCGCAATTTCTACTCTTTCGTGTACACAGGCGTTCACTTGAAGGTCGACTGGCTGGTGGAGCGCTTCGAGCGGAAACTAGAATGTCCCATGGAGAAATGCTCTTTTCGAACAGACGAGGCCTTTTGTAACTGGCGGATCCAAAGGATCATGGAACGCAGGCGTCGGCATCTGGAATGCCCCCGGGCGAGAGGCGGCTGTCTAGTCATTGAGGGCCGAACTTGTCAAATGGACTTGGTGCCGACGTGGTTGAAGAGGCAGGGCCGTGTGAAGTTGCTCAAGGCCGCTGGCAATGAAGGTTGGTCAAACATTCATTTAGCTATTCGGTTTTCATGATATGGGTCGTAAGTTCTGACAAACTATCTCAGTCCTTATCCACGGGTTGATGGTGCTCTTCATGCAAGTACTGCTGGTGATCTGTCAGAGGTTTGTCTCCCCTCCACTGATCCTCAATAAACAACTCACAAGAACAGATATGTTTTCTCGCAGAATCGACTAGGCCTGCCCTTTGGTCACAAGTTAGAAGCTTGATGCCATCAGGAGGTGTTTATGCAGCTGGGCTGCATACACTTCCACCGATGATATTATTTGTTGTTTCGGGCTTTCTATGGGACTTACTGCGTCCAGGCTCAGCTGGCTGCGTCGGACATTGTTTGGGATACCTTGCTTCTGTTATTGTTTCGTGAGCTTGCTGATTTATCCATATCTATCCATATACCCGGACTTAATGCTTAATTAATACTCCTCACTGGAAACAAACATGCTGCTCTAGTGACTCTTATCTTGAAACTTTGGTGAATTAAACGCACTGTATTGATCCGATGAGATCATTGCTGCATGAAATCTTGAAGTCTAATCTTCTGGAAGGCAGTGATTATGAGTAATCCAGACCTTGTGGTGTTCTGTTCTCTCAAATCACTGTCTTCAGGAAACATTTCCTTGGGACTCACTGCCTCGCATCTTTTTCTCCACCCAGCCGCTTGAACCTCCACGCAGACAACCTACTCTCTTGGTCCCTAGTCCAAGTTGCATCTTGATCCTAGTTATGCCTGCACACCTGCTAAATCTCCAATCTTACGATGCCAACCCGCTGGGAAGTTCCGCACACGCATGAGGCCCGTAACACCCATATCTTCTCGGGAGATGGAAGCTACCTTGGTGGTAAGCCAATGCATTCTTCTCAGAGAGTTCGGGTCAGCTCCATGCTCAAGTAGAAGCTTGACCACTGCATTATATCCATTTCTGGATGCTAAGTGAAGGCTGTCATCACCATCTTCTCTAAGCTTCGTTGGTTTCTCAGTTGAGCAACACTCTCCATACTCAGATCGGCAAAGAGTGCTCCCCGAAGCTCGTGAGCGGATAACAGCTGCTCAGCAAATAGTACCTATTAGAATAACTTTATCATCTGCCATCTGTCATTTTAACCTACTTGAGCTAGAATATTCGCGTATAGCCTATAAAGAGCATTAGGGGCTGCTGTGATTATTGAGCGCAGATATCCCGTGTTGTCGCAGATTATCCTCTCTTTAATCATCTGGCTATTACATTAGGACTGCCCACTGAAATGTTCCCTGAGCCTTGGATAAGATCTCGGCCACTAGCTCTTTATAATCTACCTCTCTCTCAATCTCTTTTAATTAATTTTTAACAAGCCATCGGATATCCTCGGTATTTTTCTCTTCCACTGATCTGGTTTTGTGTAGAAGTCATTGCTTGGACAGCAAACTTCATGAGAACAGACTTCCCAGTACCAGGATTTCCCTTAATCCAGAGAAGTCCTCGTGGGCTAATTAACTATTCTTGGGATCATGGTTCGTCAAGAAGCCATGCACATGTATCTTTTGTAACTTGTATCTCATTATATCTGCTTTCCTGTTCACGAAAGCTGAGTGACTGCAGACATTCTGTATTATGTGAGCTGCCTGTGAAAGATTATTCCTGTGAATGGTAACATACTTATGTTTGCGTGCGGCAAGGGCGCTGATACTTGAGAAAAAGCATTATATGACAAGAGGCGCTAGACCACTACACCAAAAACCCTACAAGGCTGGTGGCTAGCCAGCTATCCTCAACATTATATTAGGACTATTATGAGATATAAATTGGAGGGTTTTTCTTGCAACTATCCTTACCTTGTTCAACTCCTGGCAGTTTTTTTCTCTGTTCCAGAGGTGGTCGGGACAACTGACAAGAGAGTCCTAGCGTATGCAGCAGCAACAAGGGTTGCATGCCCTTGCCACTGTTTGTTCTTATGCGAGTCACAGTAGTCACAAATGCCCCGGATGACGAGGCATGGTAACTGATCCATCAGCCCAGCCGCCTCCATTTCAAAGCAGAGAATATTTCGCTCTCTGGTAATAGAATCTCGAGTCCCAGCATTCTTCATGACTTGAGTCCCGGAAGCAATTAGGCCGTAATGGATGACTGGTTCATTGCTTCCGCGGGCTGTACGAGGTACTATCTGGAGCCTGTCGCAAAGAGAACAGTCTTCCATGCCACGCTTGTGATCATAATCTGCCTTGAATAGCCATAAATAATTCTAGAGCTGAGACTCGCCAGCACCCAATACCTAGGTAGGCGGAGATAACTTTTGGGAAAAATATGTTTCCTTGAAGAACTTGAAGGAGCTGGGAGGTTATTTATCGGATTCGTATCTACCCCCTTGATACATTCATCAGCGCCTCCCCACCTGTTGTTTCCGAGGATCTGGCGGCAGATTCATTGCATAGGGCTATCAAATACCCGGCCGTGAGCGATGGGCACTTTCACTTCCTCATTCGAGACGTCTGGCGGGCGCGGTCAGTCTCGGTTTAGTGAGGAGTAATGGATGGAGGTGGGTTGATTAGATCGCAGTGCAAGCTTGGGCAGCCAGGAGTACGTAGCAGAAGCCCTACAGCCCTAAAAGCCAAGATAATAGTACGGCAAGGAGCAAATAAGAGAAGCACATAGAAATGCCTCCCCCCAGTAAAATGCTGGTCTTTTTTATGTATGCCCCTCGCACGGGCTCGTAGACTTTATCCCTTCCTCTCACTACGTTCGCTTCAGGGCACTATATGGCCGTTTTACATGAAACGAGCATGTGGATATTATTAGAGCTGGATATTTGTAGGATTCTGGGCGCCATCTGTTTTGAGTCTGCCTAGGTATTGTATCCAAGCGTATTTTGATCGGCATCAAAATATCTAAAGGGCTCACCGCCAGTTCTGACAATATTCCTGAATATTGACATGTTTCATTGGGATTGAAGATGAATATGATATCTTGCACTTGTTTTATGCAAGGGCTCACCGCTAGTTCTTACGGAATTTCCGGACACTAATAGTTATTCGGTCTCAGGCTCCCATATATATTAGCATCTTGTTCTCTTCCATAAACAGACTATAATCTTATCATTAATTAATTTGCAACTCTTTTCTGATCCACTCCTAAAATCCAGACCAAGTATCAACAAGATGAAGGTATTGACTGCTCTTTGGGTATTTGTCTTCGCTACCTTTGTAGCAGCAGCGCCCGCGCAAGCGAATGGTCAAGATAAGAACAGCGTTGAAAAGAGACAAGTACGTGCTTTTTCCCTACCTGCAAGATGACTCGAGAATATATAGGCTGATAGAGATGGGATATGGATAGGGTGTATGTGGTTAATCCTTTCTACCTGCAAGATGACTCGAGAATATATAGGCTAATAGAGATGGGATATGGATAGCTTGTATGTGGTTAATCCTTCCTGCTTGCACGATAACTTGAGAATATATAAGCTAACAGAGATGGGATATGGATAGCTTGTATGTGGTTAATCCTTCCTGCTTGCACGATAACTTGAGAATATAGGCTGATAGAGATGGGATATGGATAGGGTGTATGTGGTTAATCCTTCCCACTTATAAGATAACTTGAGAATATATAGGCTGACAGAGATTGGATATGGATAGGGTGTATGTGGTTAATTCCCTCTGCCTGCAAGATAACTTGAGAATATATAGGCTAATAGAGATGGGATATGGATAGGCTGTATGTGGTTAATCCTTCCTGCCTGCAAGATAACTTGAGAATATAGGCTGATAGAGATGGGATATGGACAGCTTGTATGTGGTTAATCCTTCCTGCCTGTAAGATAACTTAAGAATATAGGCTAATAGAGATGGGATATGGATAGGATGTATGTGGTTAATCCTTTCTACCTTCAAGATAACTCGAGAATATAGGCTGACAGGGATGGGATATGGATAGCTTGTATGTGGTTAATCCTTCCTGCCTGCAAGATAACTTAAGAATATAGGCTAACAGAGATGGGATATGGATAGGATGTATGTGGTTAATCCTTTCTACCTTCAAGATAACTCGAGAATATAGGCTGACAGGGATGGGATATGGATAGAGTGTATGCAGTTAATCCTTCCTACCTGCAAGATAACTTGAGAATATAGGCTGACAGAGATGGGATATGGATAGCTTGTATGTGGTTATCCTTCCTGCTTGCCAGATGACTTGAGAATATAGGCTAATAAAGATGGAATATGGATAGCTTGTATGTGGTTATCCTTCCTGCTTGCCAGATGACTTGAGAATATAGGCTAATAGAGATGGGATATGGATAGGGTGTATGTGGTTAATTCTTCCTTCCTGCCTGCAAGATAACTTGAGAATATAGGCTAATAGAAATGGGATATGGATAGCTTGTATGTGGTTAACCACCCCTTCCTCTCCCAACCCCCCCATGCTTAGATTATTTAAGAATACTCTTGTACTAACCAAACCTAGTGAGTGTCCTGTTGGATTTTTCCAGTGCTGCAGTATCAGCAAAACCTTATCTATGTATGACCTCAGAATCATGTTATACTTGTCCTCCACTGATATATTTTTATTAGCATGTCCAAACTGTACTCTACTATTCTTAGGGAATGTGTCGTGCATAGCTGGGCTTTGGATAGGGGTCTTCACACGCCTTAGTTTAGGTTTTTCCTATTAAATTAGGTTTCCCTATACTTCTATGCAAATGCAAAGGCTTCTTTTAATATAGTAATTCTATATTTCGTCTTAACTACCTGAAGCTTAGTCATAAAAAAAAAAGTCCATATGTTTTCTGATTACAACTTTTTCATAGGAGACTGTTCGAGCACCTGTGTAAACCCCATATCTATCAGTACAGCTTTCTACGTACAATATGAGGGTTCAACTCAAACTATACTAGGTCTTAATATTGATACAATAGCGCTCCGAGCTGGAGACTCCTTTTATCAGAGAAAACGGTAGCTAACAGCTAATTATTCTGCCTTGCTGACGCTTAATCATGTCATAACAGAGCTATAAGATAATCTAACCCGGTTATATCGTGCGATATAATGCTATTGCGAAATAGGACTAGGGTTAAAGCGGATGCTTTGATGCGGCAAAGCGAGTGATTTCCTAAGCGTCTATATATAACCCACTGAAGTATCTGTAATCGTCCTAACCGATGGTGGAGCTACCGGATATCGACGTCTCCGAGCACCATCGTAGAGAATCACAATAGTTATATTTAAGTATAAATTTCGCGGGGGTAAGTGGGTATCCATAGATTAATAATCCTATTAACACAGCTATCATACAGTGCTTGTCCTGCTCAATTAAACTCTGGATTCTGGTGCCCCTGGTGCATCACGAAAAGTTGGATAGATAAATCTTGACTGGCTTAGTCTCCCCTCTGGCCTTGCCACTGAGAAGTCCGCCTTGCTATCCTTGCCAGATTGACGCTTTTCTTGTACCATTAAGCTTTCCGGTTATTATCGTTTATTTCTGGCCAAAGAATTTGGCCTGCATACCATGCGCCATGTCCCTCTGTTCCGTAAGGTGGATTATACTACGACTTCTGAATGGAGCCGGGTGTTCGATGATGCAGTATTGCGAATAAAATAGATACATGCCCCGCCACCACCAAGTTAACCTTAGAGCACAAGCGTTTTGTGCAGAAACACGGCGATTTGCTGGACAGCATGTTGTACCGTTTCTGGATTATCGTAAAAGTCGAAGTGAGTTGCCTCTGTCCAAATGCATTCTTTCGGTCCAGCCAACAAATCGTAGACCTTGGATGCCTGAGTAGGGAATGCTGCCTTTTGAGAATGAATCATCAACGTCGGAGCAGTAACATGTGAAGCCTTCTCAACGGGGTCAAAAGCGAGCCATGACTCCCATGACATGACGGCAAAAGAATTGCGCCACGCGCGAACACCACCGCCTCGTGACGGATCCATATAGTAGGAATCTTTAGGAGTTTTGCTTGCTGCAGGTTCAGTATCCGAGTACGCTTTAATCGTCTCAATTTCGCCCGTCTCTCTGTAAAGCTCACGAGCTTGACGACCTGAAGCCTTTCGACTTTCAACCCCATCAGTACCAAACAGTGTTGAAAGTAGACCCGGCTCCCCGAAAAAGCCTGCTACTGTTACCAAAGCGCGCACACGATGATCCTCTGCTGCAGCATAAAGAATATTCCCAGCAGAAGTGCATATGCCCAAGAGTGCTGTAGCAGCGACGTCCTTCCGGCTTACCAAGTAGCTCACTGCTGATGACAGGTCTTTAGTCTTCTGTGTCGGGACTTCTGACTGACGCTCCGCGCCACTACTTTCCCCCCAGTTGGTATAATCAATGGCCATGGCGATGATGCCGTGGTGCGCCAATTGGCTCGCATATGTACCGCTCATCTGCTCCTTGACAGACGCCATTGAACCGCCAACGACGACGGCAGGATATCGTTGATTGCAATTATAGGTTTTAGGGAGGTAGAGATGGCCAACAACGGAGCCGTTGCTTCCGTTCGGAAAACTAACAATTTTGGGGACATTCCGAACCATCGTAGAAATCATGTTGAAATGGACTTGAGAAATTTGGTTTAGGAGATGAGACGATCAAGGGTGACGAAACAGAAGCCCCTGGTACGAGTAAATAATACTTTTGCTATATGTAGCATGCATACGAAGATGACCGGTTTATATCATAGAGAGCGGAGAGAGATTAGGTTGGCGATCTGTTCGGCGATAGGACGTAAGAGTGGGCCGTATGATGCCCGGCTCGTCAGCATCCGCTCGGAACCATCCGGACAGCTAGTACGTTCCAGGTTTACATGATTGAAAGTGATTATGGCAGCTCTGCCACTTGTGCCTCGAGAGTACGTACTGCCTTCGGCTGCCGAAGAGCTATGCTGATAATCTGGAGGGAGCCATAGCTCTCTTTGACCCTGAATAGAATATACCTAATAAGAGAAATAGAGGTTATAAATAGTAAGTTCTAAGAAATAAGGATTATTAATAGATTAATACTGAACTTTTTAGTATCCTCTCTTCATAAAGTAAAGAGATTCTCTTCTATACTGAGTAATCTAGAGGCTGCCCTGCTCCTCGCGAGCAGGTAGAGAGTTCTGCGGAGGGTCTTACAAGGATTGGGACGCCCAATTTTCCTTCTGGAAAGTGGGAATCAGCCGGTTCTTAGTAAATCGCTTAAATTAGGTATGTGGGGTATTGACAGATACTTGCTGAAACTGTACCCTTTTATCAGTGTCCTTTTGTCAGGATGAGGAGTTGATGTACTGGCTAGTACTGAACACGTCCAGTGGAATCAGATAATTGATTGAAGGTATTTCAGTATCATTCCGGTTTTCTACTATTCTACGTGGACAAAGGTGATGGTTGACTATTATAGCGGGCCATCGGGAAGCTGCACGAGCACGGAGCCACTCATTGCAGGCAGGTGCCTGGAGACTTTTGCTTTAGAACTGTACCTCCCGTACCGTACAAAAACCTTCACTATAGAATGCTTTACGTAAATTCAGAAAACAAACTCCGGACATACCGGGAATTGAACGATCGGAGTGGGGTAGCTGTAGGTGACAGCATCTAGGGCCGTCAGCAAGGAGCTATAGATGAACTTGGTGGTGGGGTTGATCGAACAATAAATATCCAGCGTCTCCTCTGGCAATTAGGACTACTATAACCAATCTTCACAATGCACGCCTTAATATTCGGCGGCAACGGACGCATTGCCCGTGCTATGACTAGGATGATGCTCGCCCGCTCCTGGACCGTAACTAGCATCATCCGCAACCCCCAACAGGCATCTAGCATTCTTGGGCTTGGTGACGGTCAGCCAGGAACTATCCATGTACTGCACTATGACCTGCAGGACTTGAAAACTGCTCAAGACGCCGAGGCACTTTTTAAGCAAACAAGTGCAACCTGTGCTGTTTTCGCAGCAGGTAGGACTCTCCTTCTTTACAGGTCCTGGCTCTATATCCCAAGCTAATGATAGAACAGGATCTTTCTCTAATGTCTTCTCTATCGAACGTGATGCTGCTAAATGTATTATTAAAGCTGCTACAAGTCTCGGCTCTGTTACGAAATTCCTCATGATCTCCTTCCAAGCCTCGCGCCGGAAACCTGCTCCTTGGTGGAATATGCAGGATATCCAAGACTACACCTCTGAGCAAAATTCGTACCCCGAGATCAGTGACGCTAAGATACAGGCAGATCAGTACCTTGTTGCAATGGCTAATGCACGACGAGTCCGTGGTGCACCACCATTTCAGGCGATCAGCTTGCGACCAACCTGGTTAACCACGGGTCATGGGACCGGCAAGGTCACTTTAGGGAAGACAAGAGCAACAGGGAATGTTTCGATTGAAGATGTTGCCGCGGTGGCATTGGAGATGCTTGGGCGGGAGGATGTTAGTGGCTGGTTTGACTTGTTGTCGGGGGATGTGGCTGTCAAAGACGCTGTTGAGGGAGTGGTGAGGGATAAAGTAGATTGTATTGAGGGGGAAGATTTGCAGGCGATTTATGCACTGGCGGACTAAGGGCTGTGCGTAGGTTGGCTGCAGCCTCTCTTTTCGTTTGCCCATAGCTCATGAACCCGCCGCGTTGAAGCCACACGCCGGCTGGTTAGTAGTATGGTGGGTGACCACACGTGAATCTCATGAAGCCTCAGGGCGCATGTTTGGGTGTTACCCACAAGGGGAGTAATGTGTGCCATAGTAGTCTCCGTGTTGCAAACCCTCTACTGACCCAAGATACCGGGCTTCTGCAGAATTCCTATTCTCGAACTACGTCTTAGGATTTGAGGACCAAACTTCCACCATGTGAAGTTGTCACATTATTCCAGATGGGTGCAGATGGGTATAGAAGGAAATAGAGCCAAGGCACATTTACTGTAATAAAGAGTGGAGGCGAAGCACGGCAGAAGATGGCAAAAGATGGGGCCTGGCAGGAACTCTACTGAGAGACCCACCGAATTAATTCTACTATGCAGTGGCTATGATATATCAAGAGGTCTCTCCCGAACCCAATTGATATCCATGAATAAACTACAGAAATTGAGCTGCTGCTGAAAATCTACTCAGGATGTCAGAAATTGCGTTCTCTCATATCTCGGCCAAACCACTGCACCCAACCTTTGGTGCTGAAATTAGTCGAGTGGACTTCTCGTCCCCTATAAGCGAGAAAGTGTTCGCAGAAATACACCAAGCTATAACAAAGGTACATCTCAGCTCTCAATATGTTGTCTTTTGATCACAGCTGGTGAGCAGCAGCTAAGGAAACAGTACGGGGTCCTCGTCTTCCGCAACACAGGGCTCACAGACGAGGGCCATATTGCTTTCTCTCGGAAATTCGGGGAACTGGACGATGTGATGCCATACATTAGCGCTGGTCGGAAGCACCGTCTCAAATACCCTGAGCTTTTCGACGTCAGCAATGTCGAGGCCGATGGGTCAATCCTGGACCCCGCAAGTCCACGAGGCCAAGCGAATAAGGTACTCACGAATCTTTCCCCTAATACAATATGCTAACGAATTTGGATTCAAGGGAAATGATCTCTTCCATGTGGACTCAAGCTTCAACCCCCGTCGCGCTGGGTATTCGTTGCTGCTAGCGCACGAGCTGCCACCGAGTGGCATGGGTGGCCATACTGCCTTTGCAGACACAAGGTCGGCATTCAATGACCTCCCCTCGGAGCTTAAGAAGAGGCTACTGGATAATGACTATGTGGCTTGCCACTCCATACACCACTCTCGGAAGTTGGCCGCCCCTGAAGCCTTTGCTGGCGTCAACCCGCTAGACTATCCCATGGGTCGACATAAACTGGTGCAGCGCCATGAAGCCTCAGGGCGCATGAACTTGTATATTGCGGCCCATGTGCACCATATTGAGGGGATTTCACCGGAGGAGTCGCGGGCATTATTTACTCGGCTTTTTGAACATGCCACTCGCGACAGCAATACGGTGGAGATCGAATGGCAGGCGCCAGGCGATTTGGTCGTTTGGGATAATACCTGCACTATGCACCGCGCTGTTGGAGGGCCCTTTCTTCGTCAATACAAGAGAGACATGAGGCGGACAACCGTCCATGATTCCAGCTTGACAGCCTGGGGTTTAAATGAACACACTGATGTTCGGCAAGGTTTGCCTTGAACAAGCCTGTGCTGTGTGGAATGATATTTTCTTATGATCATCTACACTCAGACTTGGCAGGTTTCCTTTGTTCTACTTTTCTGGCATCCAGTATGTTCAGTACGTAGATAATTAATGGATGATAACAATATGTTTCGAAATATTGTACCCGTATTTCTGTCCATAGAAGATGTCATCGCACTACACTGTCAGTCTTGTAGGTAAAAGAAGTGGATGATCTCTCTTAAGACATGCTACATAGTCATGCTAGCAATTAGCGAGGACTTCCCTCCTGTATGAGCTGATATTCACAGCTTCGCTGGCGGTGCAAATGGTGCTATTCAAAGTATTTGGACGCTAGAATTGTGCTATATACTAAGTAGATGATTGGAGGTCTATGACGACTCGACCTTGCAACTTGCCTCCTTCCATCCCTTCGAAGACCTGGTTGATATTATCCAGCTTTTCGAGACGAACGGGGGTAGTGACCACTCGCTTCGCCATAACCAGTGTCTCCATTGCCTCCCTACGATTGCCCACATTGCTTCCCACGATGGCCAACTGCTTGCCGACCATCAGGTGAGGATAAGCATTCGCAATCGGCTTCGCCTCGCCCGGGACCCCAACACAGACCACTGTGCCGTTGAATTTTAAATAGGAGAGAGCGTCAGAATATGCATCATTGCTGGCGCTGCATATTATGGCAGCAGCAGCTCCAGTACCTCCAGTGATGGCCAGCACTTCATCTATGATGCCTTTGCCTCCGTCACCCGCAGGAGAACTGGCGAGGGTGATATCAATAAAGGCTTCAGCTCCACATTCTCTGACAAGGGCCTCCTTGGGCCCCGTATCCAGGCCAATGATTCTATACCCCATTCCTCTACCTCCAAGCTGCACTCCCAGATGGCCCAACCCTCCGCCGGCTCCAGCAATGACCACCCAGTCCCCAGGCTGAGCTCTGCTCCTTTTCAGCGCCGAGTAAACCGTAACCCCGCCACAAAGGAGTGGTGCGGCGACTGCACTTGCCAGCCCGTCTGGAATGGGAGTCACATATCGCGCGGGAGCCAGAACGTACTCCTGAAATGTGCCGGGCCACGTATAGCCCGATATCTGCGAGTTCACGCAAATTCCATCAGCACCGGCCAGGCATGGCATGCAGTTGCCGCAGGCAGACGCGATCCACTTGATGCCCACACGGTCGCCGGTTTTGACGCCTGCGTCTTCGCATGATGGGCCGAGCTGGGCTACAACGCCTACGCCCTCGTGCCCACCGACCTGTCCGCTTTTAACAGGCTCTGGAAGCCAACTCCACTAATAGTGTGATAAGTACATAAAAAAAAAAAAAAAAAAAAAAAAAAAAAACGGAGAGAAATTGAAAACGGGGGCTCTCACCTTGTTTGTCATGAGGCTGAGGTCGGAGTGGCATATTCCAGAATGAGTCCTGAGAGGGATTGTGGTTTTAGTGTGAGAGAATACAACAGCAGCGAGGAGAGTGACTTACATCTTAACCAGAAGTTGGCCGGGGCCTGGCGCCGGTGTAGCCAACTCTACGATGCGAGTGGAAATTTCGCCCGGCTTGTCGTACACAACCGCTTTGTGTGTTTTGGGGATCTCCATGGTAGACTATTTGATCTGGCAAACGGAGTCTGCGAGGCACTGGGTAGTGGTAGATGGTATATACAATGGGCTGCGATTCTATTTCTTATAGATGATGATTCCTGATATTTTGCCAATTCCTTTTCCGAATCCATCTACAGCCACCGACGCAAGACTATAGCCATTGTCCCATCTGCAACCGTGTCTACCGGCTATAGATGCGCGAGCATGGCCGCCGTGACCTAAATTTCTGATATGAATAGGTTGCGATAGGTGCCTTTTTTTTTTTTTTTTCCATCCAACAAGAACAACAAGTCCGTCGCAGTGTTACAATGGCAGCATCCCATCTAAACTTTTCCACTTTTCATAATATCGTCAATGGCGAGCACCGTGGCTCCGACAAGACAGCCTTCGGTGTTGACCCATCTACAGAGTGCAAGTTATGGGATGTTCCAGTGGCCACGGCGCAGGATGTAGAGGATGCTGTGAATTCTGCCAACAACGCTTTCGAGGCCTGGTCCACGACACCTTTCGAGCAGCGAGTGACGAAGCTCGCTCAATGGAGACAACTCTATGAGAAACACGTCGAGGATTTCACTAGGCTGCTTATGATGGAGTGTGGAAAGCCGCGCTCTGTGGCAGCCGGAGAAGCCAACGAGGTACTCGCCCTATTTGATCACAACGAGAGCCTGCGCATCCCGGAGGAGTGCCTGGAGGATGACACGCGTGTTATAATCACGCGCCATGTGCCAGTCGGTGTTGTTGCTGCTGTATGCCCGTGGAACTTCCCCCTGGTGTTGTCCCTGGGGAAGATCCTGCCTGCGTTATTGACGGGGTGCTCGATCATCGTTAAACCATCGCCCTTCACGCCCTACTCCGCGCTGAAAATGGTTGAACTGGCCCAGCATGTATTCGCTCCTGGTGTTGTGCAGGCCATTGGTGGTGATGACTCTATCGGCCCGGCACTCGTCAGTCACCCCAATGTCCACAAAATCAGCTTCACCGGCTCCAGTATTACAGGCAAGAGAATCATGGCCTCGGCAGCTGCAACACTCAAAAGAGTGACTTTAGAGCTGTAAGTAGCTACTTAAAAAGGCTAGTTACCCAATGCCTGACTGACACAACCTATAGGGGAGGTAATGATCCAGCGATCATATACCCTGACGTGGACGTTGAGAAGACTGCAGCGGAAGTGGTTCAAGGTTGCTTTGTCTTCTCCGGACAGGTGTGCGTTGCAACCAAGAGAGTCTATGTGCATGAATCCATTTACGCACCATTCCTAGATGCCATGGTGATCGCGGCTTCCCGGATCAAGGTGGGCAAGGCGGACGATCCAAGCACCACGATGGGCCCGATGCAGAACAAGATGCAGTACGACAAGGTCCAAGAGCTCGTGGCCGACTGCAAAGCCCAGGGCTACAAATTTGCCCTCTCGCCACGTCCTATTCCCACCGGCGCAGGCTACTACCTCTCCCCAAGCATTGTCGACAATCCACCTCCAACTGCCCGCATTGTAGTTGAAGAGCAGTTTGGTTCGTCAAGCCCCATAGGTAGTGGCAATGCCATAAGTAGTGGCAATGCCATTGACAGTGGTTACTAACATTGTTTCATGCAGGCCCGATTGTGCCGGTTCTCAAATGGTCGGATGAAGCAGATGTCATTGCTCGCGCCAACAGCACCTCGGCAGGCCTTGGAGCGTCCGTGTGGAGTGCCGATACTTCTCGCGCCGAGCGCGTGGGCAGGCAAATGCAGGCCGGCAGCGTCTTCTTGAATTCATGGGCCAAGACGACGCCACGGGCAATGCTGTCTGGACACAAGGAGAGCGGGATTGGGGGGGAATGGGGGTCCACTGGGATGCTGCAATACTGCAACACGCAAGTCGTGCATATCTTTAAATGATTGGCTGCTCCACAGTAAAAGCCATCTATTGCCGTGTTCCCTGGTTTAGTATAGTGCCTCAGTATTTCCACGGTCAGACCCCAGATGCGGAGACAGCGAACGCGGATAAATGAATAGATTCTGCTGCACGCACTACACATCGAACTGTTAATTCCCCTTTACAATGACCCGTAGTCGAAATGTCCGCCTTTACCGCGCGTGCCAACGGTGTCGCCAGCGGAAGCTCAAGTGTGATCCGTGGGTTGCTTGATGCCTCTCTCTCTGTTCCCCACTAAGCGAATCTTAGAACTACATCCCCTGACGGGGCAAGGTCCTCGTGTCGGCAGTGCGTTCGAGCTAGCAATGAATGCGTCCTCGCTGGATCGCGTCGGGGAGGCGATTTCTCCAGGTTTCGACGTCCGCGACATGGGGGGAGCTCTACGCCTGTTGGAAGCGTCGACACAACACACGAGCCGACAGCGCAGACTGAGTATCGCGAGAAAGCAGTAGAGAATCCCATCTACGACGAGTTAACGAATCCCGGTGATGCTCTTCAAATCCTTGCGCGACTGGCAGCAGCTCCAGCCTTCGCGGATAGGGTCTCCGCCGCAAGGCGAGAATATTCAGAAGCTGCACTGTCGGCGAACAGTATGATGGCCCAGTCAACTGTATCTGCGATGGAATTACTGGTGATCAGCGTGTTGGGTACGGACCTGGTGGATCGGCTGCTGCATCGGTATGAAGCACCGCCTGAGCAATATTGGATGGCTTCTGACTGTCTAGCTACGCAATCAACTACCACACCTTCTGTCCTCTTGTCCCCAAAAGTCTCCTCTGCGCGACAGATATGCGAAAGCTGGCCATTGATGAGCCGTTCCTCCTGGTGGTGATTTTGACGATCGCATCAAAGGATGAGGCTGTATATCAGGCCACTCATCAACACTGCTGTCGGTACGCCAGATTTCCGTCCGTATGGGACAGTCTTTCTGGTCGAGGGGCCCCTCCCTCTCGACTCACTTCACAGCCAAAGATTTTCCGAGTCTGTGCCTTAGGGCAGACGCGGAACATAACTATGCATTGGTGCTACAGGCCAGCATAGAGCTCACTCAGCTACTTCATAACGTGCATGATATCCTGTACTCGTCCAAAGAACGACAAATGCAGATGGTCCGGCGAGGGGACTACAACCGCTATCTAGATGACTTTCGGCGCTCCCTGTTAGCATGGCAAGGCCGGTGGGACGATCTAAAAGCATCCCCGAAACTAAGTTCCACCTTACGGATTGTCAAGGAGTACGTTCGCCTGTATGTCAATGCGTTCGCCTTCCAGTCAATTCTTTCAAGGGCAGTCCGCGAGAACCACCATCATGCCTCCGGTGGGACTATCTCAGAATCAGACCCGAGGCATCCTCTCTCTTTGTTTCCCCACGGCATCACCTCGACTCCAGAGGGTGCATACGTCCTGGAAGCATTGGATGCGTCCCGGGACATCCTAATCATCACTAGTCAAACTAACCCGGAATCGCATCTTCGGCACATGCCCTTCCGCTTCTACGTGTATGTGCTTCTCATTAAACACCTATCCGAGTATTCTATGTTTTATATTATAATATAAGGTAATATGGCTGAAAATAATTTTGATATAGATATACCGTGTACTCGGCCGTGTTCCTCTACAAAGCGCAGGTCTTCGGGGCTCTAGGGCCCGCCGAAAAGATCGAAGCTGCTTCCCTGGTGGAGCAATACATCAGGGTCCTTGAACGCGCAGCTACCAACGAATATCACGTCGCTAACCGGTTCGCCAGCCTGCTAAAACGGATGTGGATGTCTGATACCACCGTCAGGGAATATTCATCGCCGATGAGAATGGCATCTCCCGCCCTGGAACATTCGGGTATGAACTGCGAAGCTCTCCAGAATATCAGCATGATCGATCGCCAAGTTCATCCAGATGTTGCATTTGGAACGGGAGTTCCAGCGCCTGCAGACATTGCAACCCCGGAGTTCAATTTATTTTGTCCAGAGTTCTCGAGTTTAGAGTCCGAGCTGGTTGGGCTTGGTATGGGTGCTGTAGACTTTCCAATATGAAGAGAAATTTTCCGGCTATAGATGTATCCTTGGTTGGCCGTTTCGTGTGCAAGACAACGTGCCACCTCCTCTTTCCGAGCGGCTGTAGATGGACAGAGCTAGGCAAACTAGAATCCGGGGTCAAAATGTGGAGACGTATAGCCAGAAACGGCCTAAGATGGTACGAGATGGCTAGAGATGGATAATTCTCTATGGAAACCCCTATATCAAGCGTCCCCGGGCAAATGATGCCTATTCAATTACCATGTTTTACCTCCACTACTACAATGATGATAACGAATATCTATGCTATCACAGCTATCGCTGTGATCGGAGGATCGCTATTTGGTTTTGATCTATCTTCGATGTCTGCCATGTGAGTTAGGCCTTCGGAGGAAACTCATGCGTACTCTAATCAATCAAGTCTCCCTACACACCAGTATAGATGTTACTTCAATCAGGGTCCTAACGGACCTTCGCTCAATGGTGAAGCCCACTGTTCAGGTCCAGATCCTACAGTGCAAGGTGGCATCACGGCCTCCATGTCTGGAGGCTCTTTCGTCGGAGCATTGATCTCAGGGTTTGTAACTGATATATTAGGACGGAAATATGCCATTCAAATGGGGTCCATTATATGGTTGGTGCCTACTTGGCTTGGGTTAGGGTTAAGCTGACATTATTATAACGCAATCAGGATTGTCGGCAGTATTCTTTGCTGCACCTCCCAGAGCATTGCTATGTTAATAGTCGGTCGATTCCTCAACGGGATGTGTGTGGGAATATGCTCTGCACAAGTCCCCGTGTATGTTGGAGAGCTCGCGCCTCCTCATCTAAGGGGCCTGGTGATGGGTGCTCAGCAGTGGGCCATCACATGGGGTATTTTGATTATGTTTTACATTTCCTATGGCTCTTCCTTCCTTGCTGGGACTATAGCATTCAGGCTACCTTGGGGTCTTCAAATGATTCCCGCAGTGTTCCTCTTCTTTGGACTATTCCTCACGCCCGAGTCTCCGCGTTGGCTGGCAAAGAAGGATCGCTGGGATGATTGCACTTATATCATCTCATCAATCCATGCTAACAGTAACGTCGACGACGAGTTTATTCAAATGGAGATTCAACAGCTCAAGGATGCCTGTGAATTGGAGCGTACCAAGACTGACAACACTTACTTCGATCTTTTTCAGCCACATATGATTTGGCGCACGCATATCGTCGTCTTCGTCCAGATATGGTGCCAGCTGACTGGAATAAACGCCATTCTATACTGTAAGCTCCATCATGCTGTTTTTGATTCCTCACTAAAAGAAAAATACAAACTCAAAGATATCACCTATATCTTTGGAATGGCAGGCTTAAGTGGCAGTTCGAACTTGGTTGCTTCATCCATCAGTTCCGTGATCAACGTGGTTATGACGATACCCGCTCTCATCTTCTTGGATCGAATCGGACGTCGCCCGTTCCTGATAGCAGGCAGTATCTCCCTGACCATCTGGTGGACCATATGCACGGGCCTAATGGGGGGCTATGGCAACCCGGCTCCCCCCGGAGGGCTGGACCATATCCGCGAACAGAGCTGGGTAATCACAGGGGCGCCCGCGAGAGTTATCATTGCTTGTTCATACCTTATTGTGGCCTCTTTCGCTCCAACCTGGGGCCCGATTGAGTGGGTGTATCCGTCGGAACTCTTCCCCCTGCGTCTCCGCGGCAAGGCGGCTGCCTTGTCTACGGCTAGCAATTGGGCTGTCAATTTTGCTCTTAGCTACTTTGTCCCGAGTGCTTTTGTTAACATTACCTGGAAGACCTATCTTATTTTTGCTGTTTTTTGTTTTGCTATGACGCTTCATGTTTTCTTTGTTTTCCCGGAGACTTCGGGGAGGAGGCTGGAAGAAGTGGAAGATGCGTTTAAAGGTATCAAGGTAGCATGGAGGATGGGTATAGCTGAAGTTAAGGATGCAGAGAGCGCACTTAACAGTAGGTCAGACCAGGAAAAGCTGGAGGCTGTTCATATCGAGTGAGCTTAGTTCATCATATGCAACTCCTCAGCTGTTGGCCCAAGTTAATGGCCTGCTGGTGGGCTGCTCACCGAATCATCCACATGAAAAATGTGACTGCACTGGTCACTAAAGCTTCTGATGTACGTGAAATAGGTCTTGAATACTTAATGTCTGATTGGACTACGCAGTATATGTTATATCTAATGTTACATCTATGACGGTGCTGGATAGTTTTTGCCCGAATACAACTAGGCCTGCTTTCGTTTCACAGTACTCCGTATACATGGCTGGATAAAAGGCGATGACATATAGAGGCATCGAGAACTCCTTATTCTAAGTTGACATCTAAGGAACTAGAGTTGAGCTTTCTTAGCAGGCTGCGCCATTACCTGTATATTCCTCCCATTATCTATAGACACTTGGCATGTATTTCAGCTAATCAACCTCGTCCTTTCTTAATCGATCAACGGGCTTGAGCCAAGGTGTCAGCATAAATCTTCAATCCATTTCAATCTGACTCACAAATCAACTTTGCACTCAGCGCCAGTGCCGCCATTATTTTCCTTGCAAACTTCACCGTCCGTACAGAATTCCAACGCCGCAATCTCTTCGCCGTCAACACAGTGGAATATGACCTCCATCCAATCATCTCTATACTCGTTTCTGGCTTCTGAGGGTAAACCTGTATTCGCTTGCGCTGCACTTATAATATCTGCCCTGTTGTAGCCTATGCCGAGCTGTAAGTATGATACTCTTGCCACTGCGAAATCAAGCATGAACAGCGAACTTATTTGAAGGCTACTTACCTTGATTGCTTTCAAGATATTCACCGCAGTATTTCTGGTTTGTTTCGCATTCTGCAAAGACGCTCGGAAGAATGAATGAGAGTGACAGGATAACGAAAGAGGACTTCATTTTGAACTTCTCTTGTAAACCGCCTTAATCTTGATAATGGGTAAGGCTAGTGTTGACAAAGTTGCTCGAAGCTGTGTACTTTGATCGATATTTATATTGCTTTGCTTTCCTCTGAGTTGGTGCCCCATACCGCAATTCCTACTCCGACTGTGCTACCTCGCTTGATTACTATTGCATCCTTGCGCTAGGTCGATAGGATATGTAACATTTCGGTAAGCCAGTTCTGAGGACGACTGTATAGGTTTGAACTCGATCAAGCGGATGGGTCACATTCGTAATAGCCTTTCAGGTAACTAACTCCCTAAGAAGAGAAGGCTAATTTGAGCATATTCCAATATGCTCCATGCAGCGGGATATCATACTGATTTCCAATCAATCTGATTGAATGTGGAATAAATCCCGTACACGAAGGTCTGTTGTTTGCTTGATCGAGCATCGAATTACAACAGATGGCCCTTTGGTAGAGTATGACAGGTTATCCAATGCTTGATGCCTCATCTATATATATATATATATATATATATTACTTGAATAACTCTGTAATAAACCACGGGGTGTGTCCAGCTCAGAGCGGTGGCTTTGGCGAGGTCTACTGCAGTCGAGAAGACCAGTCACAGTATGGATTATATGGGGTCTAAGACGACGCTGGGCATACTACAGTAGAACGGTGCCGCAGGACTAGAATTGCTGTGTAGGAACATGAAATGTTGTGGGTTCTTAGCCGCACCACGATATTCTGTTGATTCAAGGGATCCCAGACAGGCCTGGCAGCATGAAGTAGTGGCTTGGTTCATGCAGCCATCTTCAGATGTCCCATTCTTGGCTACAGCTATGATGATGCCGAGAGTTCAGGTCATTATAGCTAGATTTGTTCCAGTTGTAGCCTCGATCGGCAATAATATAGGCAATATATATTAAGAAGGTGAGTGTAATATGTCACTAGAAGAAGCCTAAGAAAGGGAAGGCTTAAGGATAGTAAGATTTAAGGAGAATAAAGGTAATATGCTCTAGTATATATACGCTTGTGTAGTAGAGATTTCTCCAATGCTATCTCTTTACTCTCCTTCAGGTAAGCTGCACAGCCATAAAATATGCTGTCGTATGTTTTGTTTTTCGTGCTTTATTATATATAATTTAAATAAAACAGCTTAGTAGTTCGTTCAACGGTAAGGAGAATCCCTAGTTTGAGGAATTAACATACATCCGAATGAAACGCAACCGAATATTTTGTCTCCAAAGCAATCATTTTTAATCAAAACACCCACTGATCAAAGACTGCGCCAAAGCCCAGTGTGTCCAGAAACTCCATCCCTTCTGCAGCCCAGGAACTGCTCAAGTCTTCCTCGATTGCTGCTGAGGTTCTCATCCCCACTTCAAGTTCAGCAGCACCCGTGGCGGCAGATGAGACCGGTAGACGAGATTCTAGGACTTCATCTAGGATATTCGTGAACACTTTACTTGCACGTTCGAATAGTGCGTGGTTGATGTTGGATGTCAGCGGTCGAGCCATCGCGTCGATATGCGAGATGAAGACACTGAGGTTTCGGATGAGCTCTGCCCTAGATCCGGCATAGGGCAGCGGATGGCTAGTTCGGACTTGGGTCTGGAGAGCCTTCATTAATGTACTAGCGCTTGGAAACCCATACAGTACAATCTATGTCATATTTTAGTTATTTGACAGAGAAGGGAGTAAGTTATGGATTTGGAACTCACCATGGAGTTGAAATCGCGTTGGATATCGACCATAGGCTCTTGTTGCCTGCCAAGCATCAAGACGGCAGAGAGAATCTTTGAACTGACGTCGAGTAGTTCCGCTTCCGCGGATGGGTCATGCTGTGTGAGGAGCCTTTGTATGAGGAAAATGTTATAAAGGTACATCAGGTGCGATGCAATCATCATAACGCGAACTCCGACGGGGTGACTACTCTTCCAATCGCTGGCTGAGTAATACAGATGCTCTGGTATTGAGTTCCAAGCCTGCGTACAACGAAAGGAAATATCTCTGTCAGAGGGAATATATGAGCGAGATGGTAAAATAGTGATGTGCAGGGAGCCTCACTTTAATCTTTCTGCAGCTTCAGAGTATACGGGTCGGAGAGATAGCTCTAATATTTCCTCTCGGAATGGTGCAAGTATATGTCGGACTCGATACCAGGAGGTTCGACGAAAGGTACGGTTGACATTCCAGCCATCGTTATCTAACTCTTCCATAGCTCTCTCGAGGTCTTGATCGTCACCTACTATTGCATCCTCACTGATATCGAGAGGGGGTTTGCTGTCGCAATACCGCCAGGATACGTGCGGTGGACGTCCAAAAAAGGTTGCCATATTCTTATCTGAATGATTAAAGGCAGCAAAAAGTCTCCGCCGTATCTCGCGCAGGAACGTGGGAATATTTTCTGTATTGTGGCAGTCACGATGCAAGCCCACCTCGAGGATACAACTAGATAACTCTCCCAACCTATGCCAAGTTGGAGAACCTTTGTAAGAGTCCGTCAGTCGCCTTGGTGCCCGCATAGCCTATACTGTGTCATAGAAGATGAGGACGAATAAAACATACTAGAGTCCCCTTGCAGCATACAAGACAGCAGCATATTTTCATGCAGAAGCCAACTCATCATATCATTCACCGGGGTCAATAATTTGCACACGTGTATGGCAGTGTTGCTCGCCGTCAACATCCTCCGTGAAAACTGAAAACGTGCTGCAGATGCAGCCTCGGCGTGTCCTGGAAACCTATCGTGGGCGAGTCCAAAAATGCAGGACCGTCCAGCAATAGAATAAACTAGACCCATAATCTCTAGACGCATTTGCGTGCCTCTAAATAATGTGTGAAAGTCTTTGCCTTTAATGTCGGGGGGCATTTTGAAGTTTTGGGCGGTGCTCTCCAGAATCTGGGTGGTCTTCTTGTATATAGTCTGTGGTGTCTCGTCCTTTTCTAGTATGCCTCGCATTTCGGCGACGATATTGGAGATGAGGAGGGTGGGGAGAATAGCAGATTGACTTGTTCCATAGAAACCGTGCACCAACTGTTCAATTGTGGAAATTTCACGCAGTATGCCCAACAGTTTGGTCGTCTCAGACACCCAGAACGAGGGTAACATTGAGTGGCTATTTCCCGGTACCTGGGCCACATCATTTGAGGATGAGAATATACTCTCCGAGCCACCAGAAAAGACGGATACAAAGCTCGTAGGGCCGAAGTAGCCCGGTGGAAGAGATTGGTCCGTTTCTGGACTCCGAATGCTAATCTCAACTGACGATGGCGTAGGCGATGGCGGCCTTAGGCTTTCCCTCCGACTGCGTTCCTTCCCAGAACGCGAGGTCCGCTGTGGCCTTGATCGAGGACCTGGCGAGTCTCTTTCTCGTGTCAGGGGGGCTGGATGGTAGAAACAACGACTAGTTATATCGCGTTTCTGGCATCGTCCACATATTGGGGCTTCGTGATCGCAGCGCACTTTATCTTTCCGACAGGGTTCACAGGACGCAGCCTGGCCATTTCGCCGGCGTGAACTCATCTCAACTCCGGAAGCACTCGGTCTGCAAGGCATTGATGCGAAGAAGGAGTGGAGGGAAAGAGAAGGTTGAGGGGGGCTCACGGGATTCTTCGGGGTTCGGAGTTCGGAGTTCACGCCAACAATAACTGCGCCGAAGGCTGACTGGGCTGTCTTCTGCTGAAAAAGAAAAAAAGAACTGTATTCAATTATTCAAAATGACACGTCGCTTAATGGGTGGCTAGAACATGCTTTAAAAGTTGTACTTTACAGTGGTACAATGTTAAGATAGTGCAGTGTCAGAATGAAATATATATTCAACAACAGTTAACGCATACAAATAAAAACTAAACAAGATAACCTCGCGCCCATCCATATCATGCATTCATTATTATAAAATGGGTATCTCTGTTAACTCCGGATTACTCCTATGCCACGAAGCCCAAATCGAATCCCCCAATATATTAAATCTGAACACGTTAGCAGTCAAAACCTATCTGCATCACGGCGGAATGACTTACCAGTCTAAGAGGCATCCGCGCTGGTATGCGGCCGTTGTGGAGGAGCATCGCAATGTTCTTATTCGGCGTTGCTTGTAGCTTGCGATATGCCTCGCGAATATGTCTCGGCTCGACCGGGGTGCGGCCTTCCTCTGGAGGGTCGAAAAGTCCAGTCTCACGCTTGCGTTTCTTGGTGTCCTCCGCTCCATTTTCCGACCCTCCGCGGCGGATTTTCTCCCGATCTTCACGCTCCTTGACCTTGAGGGCCTCCTCGGTCAGAGTCTGCACGATTTCGAATGTCAAAAACCCCAGAATGTCGACAATATCGTCGTTGGGCTTCGATTCAGTGACGATTCCAAATCCAGCCCACTCCCTGAAGCGTTTGCTCTTGCGGTAGGTAAACGATGCCTGTCGACATTCAGACCAAAATACGTATTCTTCTCTGGTCATGTGCTTGGTTCGCTCGTCTGCGGCAGCAAGACGTTGGAGAGTCGCGTAATTCTGTTCCTCTTCTTCTTCGTCTTCTTCATCATCTCTTTCTGGGACTTGAATAGAATAAAAGCTGTTAACATCCCACGCAAGTCCAACCCGGGCCCTCTTATTTTTGGGCTTAGATGCCACATCTTGGGGTCCCGCAACAACGCCCCCAGCCATTGGGTCATCAGCACCCGCAAAATCAGCCGCATCAGCGCCGCCCTTATCATCAGAATCTTTGACGTTCTTGCGGACATCTTTCCATGATAGGAAAGTCTTCAGGCGGGAGACTTTGGCTTTATCATGGCGAATTAAAAAGATCAAATCATCAGTGGATATAGATCGAACCCCACGGCGAGTAGCCAGTGTCGTACTGCGAGCGAGCTACTCTTGTGTCAATACATATTAACAGTCAAGTGAGCTGAAGGGCATACAATTTCAACAACTTGCTGTCGCACAATGTCCTCAATAAGAGTGGTGGTCTCGATAGATGGCTCAGCAGTCTCTCCAGAGACAAACATCATCTGGTGAATGAAGTTAGTAACTTTGTCCGAAAATTTTTTACTGGTTTTAGCGCTGGTGTAATTTGAGTTCTGGTATCTGTCTTCATCCTCAACTTGAAGAGTGCCTGTACGTGACAAGCATGAGCTCTCCATCTCGAGATCAGGCTTGCTCTTGCAAACCACGAAACGGGCCCCGTAGACCATAATTCGCCCCAGTGTTGAAAATGGATACGAGAGAATAGGCAGAGATGGAGGTGTAGAGGATATGGTAGCGCATCAAGTGAACATGTTGTATTGCTCGCGTAATTGGCAATGAGCGCATTTCCCCCAAGACCCAACGAGAGTGAACCATAGAAATAATCCGATCATTTCGCGCTATTAAATGCGCCAATGCGTTTCAAAAGGGCGCAGGGATTGAAATATCAAAGGAGTGACGCTCACCTGCTGGATTTCCTGCCGGTACTTCGGAGTACGATCAGACGACATATTGCGGATTTAGGACCAAAATCTAACACGATAATCAAACACAGAAACAGACGTCGCAATAGCGTCTTTCTATAACAAGACGAAGGACGGTATCAGAAGCCAATGAATCTCATAGTTAGAGACCTAGTTAAGGTAAGAAGTGGTCAGCGCAAGCCTCCATGTGAGCGCCCTACTGGGATCATCTGTTTCTCCGTCTTCCGCCCGCGGCTTGAATTCACATGGTGGGGTCCAGAAACTTTTAAAATGCAACAGCCCATTGCTTGGATTGTCGCCGTCAAAAAACATCATGCTCTATCTCGTGGGACTGGGTCTCGCCGATGAAACGGACATCACAGTCCGTGGCCTCGAAGTGGTGAAGAAGGCGGAACGAGTCTACCTCGAAGCATACACAAGCATTCTTCTTGTCGATAAGGCCAAACTAGTGAGAACCCCAGCAACAAGATCAATTTGCGCCCATTATCTTTATTTCCTGTTAGCTAATGATCAATTGTTTTAGTAGGAAGCATTCTATGGCCGTCCTGTTATTGAAGCCGACCGAGAGCTCGTCGAAACCGGTAGCGACGACATCCTCGCAAATGCGGACAAGGTGGATGTAGCTTTCCTCGTAGTTGGGGATCCCTTTGGGTATGCTTGTTGATATTCTATTATACGCTATTGTTTTCTTGTCTCTGACCGTCTTTCACAAATAACAGAGCTACGACGCATACTGACCTCGTCCTCCGCGCGCGCGAACTCGGCATCGAGTCGAAGGTTATCCCAAACGCCTCGATCATGTCCGGAATCGGCTGCACTGGTCTTCAGCTGTACAACTTTGGCCAAACAGTGAGCATGGTCTTCTTCACAGAGACCTGGAAGCCGTCCTCGTACTACGACCGAGTCAAGGAAAATGTCCAGCTAGGACTTCATACTCTTGTGCTGCTTGACATCAAGGTCAAGGAACAGTCGTTGGAGAATATGGCTAGAGGACGCTTGATTTACGAACCCCCGAGGTACATGACCGTTGCGCAATGCGCTGGTCAAATGCTCGAAACCGAAGAAGAACGGAAGGAGGGTGTTTGGGGGCCAGACAGCCTCGCCGTGGGGGCTGCGCGAGTTGGAGCCGCAGATCAGAAGCTTGTTGCGGGCACTCTGCAGGAGCTAAGTCAGGTCGATATGGGCCCGCCACTACACAGCCTGGTCTTGCTGGGCCGCAGAGCGCATGATCTGGAGAAGGACTACATTCGACAATTCGCTGTGAATGAGGAAACGTTTGATGCAAGTTGGAAGAATGGGAAATATGGTTCCAGTTGATTCTGACCCGAGAAATAAAAGAAATTAGAAGAGAAAAAGATAGAACACGAAATAATGCACAATGACCGCCCGTTGTAACCTAAGCAGACTCCCACAAGACACCGAAAGCCAGCTGATTGATATAAAACCCCCATCTCTTTTGCTGAAAATCATCATTCATAATATGACTAGTACATCGATCAGGAAGACCGTTTGCTGAAGAAACGCGTGAAAGACTCGGGAATCCGGAGCTATACAATTTGCGAAACCGCAATAGTTAGCCCACATCCACGATACGATATCGAATCACTAAGACATGTAAATAAACATACCGTGGGCGTTGATGGCGCACCGCTCGAAGATGCAGACCGATCATAGCTGTCGTCGTCGTAATAGTCTTCTTCATCCTCCTCCATAATATCATCCTCGTCATGGGGGTAATACCGTTCCGGATCCCCATTATAAACAATCCACCACCCAATCCTCTCTCCAGCAGCATATTTATCCCTAAATTCAGCCAGCGCCTTTGTACCAGCTGCATCTAGCGGATTTTCCTGAAAAATATCTGCATTCCAAGAACTCCCTGAATTTTGCGACCCTTCCTCGGGTATACTGATCACCTTCGCGCCAACATATGCATAAGGCTTGCTCACAGCATCGTGGCTCTCGTCCTCGGGGTCGTACTGTTCGACAAAGCGCAGTTCAGGAAGATTCGAGACGATGTTCGGCTCCGTCTTGCTGAACGAGCCCAGCAGTAATTGATTCGTGATTGGTCGCTGGACGTATTCGGCCGTTGCATCTTCTAGATTGTGCAGGACAATGTAGACTCGGATGCCGGTGAAGCCAGCCCGTGGCCATCGGAAACCGTAGAGCATGTACACGGGCATGACGCTGGTGAAACTGAAAAGGACGCTGCTGCAGGGACTCGGAATAATGAACGAAGGGCCCAGATCTCCCAATGCGATGCTTGAGGAATCATAGTATTATGCCTGGAAGGGGTGTAGCTGTCATCATTCTGTGGCGTCGGGGACCTCGTATGGAGCTCTTAAACTGGGGGTTGTGGGTGCGGAACGAAAGAATGTGTCGTTCCATTTGCTCCAGTCCGCGGCCTTCGGCGTAACCGTTAACGGTCCTTGGCGTTGTGTCAGGACTATATTTGGACCTTTCCCGAGGCATCTGTCCAAGAGCTTACTTTTGGTACAATAACACTCCACTGACTCTATAAAAAAAAGAACTCTTAGAGGGTAAATACTGCTACAGTCTCGTGCACGTGGAACAAGTCTAGATCTGCATACTGTCTAGTAGTGGCCCCAAGAATAGAGTGTCTAGGCTGAAAAAACGTTGAAGGCGGTGGGCGCGGGCAGTATCGCGCGATTAGCGGCGCGGATTGCGGAGTTGATTGCAGCTCCAGCTTCCACGCCCGCTACAGCATTCCTCCTCCGTGGAACTCGCACGGAGCACTGCGAGCCCATCAACCAAGATGGTTCTCTCTTTCATACTTGTTCAGAATCGCCAGTAAGTTTTTTTTGTGGCCTTGCTTGTCTGCGGAGGCGCGGCAGAACTAACAGTGCGGGAACAGGGGCAAGACCCGACTTGCGAAGTGGTATTCGCCGTACAGTGTAAGTCACACCGGTTCCCCGTTGGACATCAACAATTGTCTAATACCAATGATACAGGATGATGAGAAAGTGAAACTCAAAGGCGAGGTTCGTTACGGTCGGCCCCGTTATGACTCTGCTGGCATCCGCCGGTTTCTATATCAACGGAGGTTAACGTCCCTAGGTTCATCGATTGGTGGCCCCACGAGATCAGAAATACCAGTCGAACTTTGTCGAGTTCAAGCGAAGCACTAAGATTGTATACAGAAGATACGCGGGTCTTTTCTTCTGTGCTTGCGTCGATGCGACGGATAATGAGTTGGCATACCTTGAGGCGATTCACTTCTTCGTGGAGGTCCTGGATCAATTCTTCGGTAACGTGTGCGAGTTAGACTTGGTATTCAACTTCTATAAGGTAAGTGGCTCTTGAATGAGCTTGGAAGCACGACGCAATCTCCTTGTATAGGGGTGCTTTGGATGGAGGTTTGACTAATGTTCATACAGGTATATGCAATCCTAGACGAAGTCTTCCTTGCGGGTGAAATCGAAGAGACGAGCAAACAAGTCGTTCTAACGAGGTTGGAACATTTGGATAAGCTGGAGTGATCATTGGATTTGAGCCGAATGGACGATAGAGATGGACGATAGACCATGGCCTGCATATATGGGATTTGCATGGGTGACCGCGGGTTATGGTCATAGCTGGAGTTACAGGAGTCATCTGTTTATTCTATTTTCAAGTTCTTTCCGGCCAGCAATGGTCAGAAGCCGGCATAACTTCCTCGTTTGCGATTGCTATACCCTCTTTTAATGTCAACGTACCTTGGTCCTACGCATCTTTCCTAATGCGCAAGATGTGTGGAAGCAACTTTCAAAACCAGATAATGATTTTCCTTAGCCAAGCACAGTTTAGGTCTTTGTAATGTAATGGGAGACCAGTTTTGGATGTTGCCTGGAGCTCAACAGCCGAGATTTCTGCCGTGTCTCAGACAAGCTTCTGAAAAGTGAATGGCGTCCCCATATTCAGCCCTACGGTCCTATGGGACAGGGACGATCGAATAATGATCGATGGTGCAATTTTAAAGTCAGTAAGCAGGAGTGGCTATAAGAACGCCATCCGGGCGCTGTTTGGACGGACCCTGGCTCAAAGGTGGTCGTCTTCCCCAAGAGTGGATATAGCCAGAGTGAGGTGATCGCGAGCAACAATTGCGAGAGTTGTGCGCAGGTTGACAACATGGCTTGGCATCACTACTTTAAAAGCACCTCATCGCACAACTATGGCCCCTGTTTTTCTCTTAAAGACTGACTGGAATGTTGCATTTATTCTTTCGTTCTGCTTGCTGCGAGCCCCCAACTACTGTCTGTTGTGGTGGTTTCTCTTCTGTCTTCTGAAACTCGACGATCGGCTTTACTCCCGCACCATGCTGCCAACCCTCCCACAAGGCTGAGACGCACTGAGCATTCCAGGCCCAAATCGAGAATTTCAACAGACGACCATTCTTCTTCACGTTGCAGCACATGCTTCAACACTATGCACAGATGAAGTTCTCCCGCGTCCGCCCCCATTACACCGGGCGCAAAACTGAGTCTCTACCGGTCGCTCAACTTCCTACATTGGCACGGAGAATCGTCCCTGGCGGCCACTGCACCTCGAAACAAATGGAGGAATCAATTGGTGATCCTCATCTCTCGCGGCCGTTTTTTTCACTTCGTCTTTCTACGACTTCCTCGCTTTGGCACCAAGGACTAGGCGTGTGACCGGGCGAGGCCGAGTTTGAGAGAAATGAATCGACCTGCCGGCTTCAAGGTCATGGATCCTTAGCGGTGCAACCACATCGAGTCCCGGTCTTTCCCATCAATGACAGCGGAGATTGCAACCGCAATGCCGTGTTGCCACGAGCTGGGCAGCTTCCACGAGATAAGTTAACCCCTGAACCCAACGGCGGTTCAAGGAATTGTTGAGTCTGTGTGAGCGGGGCAACTCCTGATAGACAGATTATCTTTGCTACAAGCGTTTAACCACGAGATGTCAAACCTGGTTGGCAACGGCAAGATGGGCGTATCAAGAATCGAGTATCTCCTGGCCAAGAGGAAGGCTGGGGCCACCGAGCACAGCGTCGCTGTCACCAAGCCAGTTCTTTAATTTCGAGAGGTTACGAATGTGGCTGGGTCAACCACAATTCCATCTTATCTCGCTGGGTCGCTGTCATATTGAACGCCATTTCCGAGTTACTTGAAGGTCGAAGTCGGTCGAGCCATGTTTTCTTTACAATACAGCATTGGGCGGCCCCCACTCGACTTCTGGATTTGAAGATTATTCTGTGGCACGGCAACGGACCGCGAGTCCGCGACGATTCTGTGACGAATCTGGCGATCAAAGCGAAGGATCATCGGGCGAGCGAGGTTCGGTGACGAACCTGCGAAGGTGTTTCGTCGTCGCCCAGTGGAGAGGGCCGTTTCAGCGCTTGTTCGAGTATCCTGGCACAGATTATTTGCAAATCCAGCCGGCGAGCGGAGAGCGTACGCGTCAGTCCGGGATTGACGGTGGACAAGACTGGGGAGAGATTCCAGAATCGCATTTGCGAGCCGGCGCGGCTGATCTCTGGTTTGCCGAGGGGCTTCTTGGCGCTTCCCCCATCGTCCCACAGTCTCCCACAGGCTTTCATGATGCATCAGTGGGCCCCTCCTGCTTTCCCGCCGCCTAAGGCCACTCACGGCACGGCGTTTCGGCCAGGTGGACTCCATCACCACGCTTCAGAGTTATGACCAGCCTTTACTCGGCTATCATCGACATCCAACCACTGGCACCGGGCCCCTGACGCTCTCGTTTTTTTACAAGGCCGCCGTTTCATACATGCCCTTTTTCCCCCCTTCGATAGCCTCCGTCATGTCACTTCTTGGACAAGGAAGTACTGAGAATCAATCTGGGAAACAGGAGAAATATGTAGGGCGGAATGCATTGGCGATCATCAGTAATGGCAGGGGCGTTTGTTTCGCACTGACGGCAGATTGTTACATGATATTGTGATTGTCGAATGAAGGTCAACGCTCCGTCCTGCGGCACCCCAGCGATGCAAATCCAGACTTGCGACGCCCAGGAGTCTTGCCACTTGCGGATTGGCAGGTTTCTATCCTGGGCGCCGTCTCCTGTTATTTTTGACTTTTATATTATCATATAATTTTCATACAATTACGCATTGCAAGTTTCAACGCCACTCGTTCCAGCGTTACGGCGCTAAGAGGTCCATCTTACAGAACCCAGATTGATGACTTATCGAAGATTCCAATACTTTTATTCTCGCTGATCAGCCTCCTTTTTCTTTCTCGAGGTCCCATCTCGTGTTGTTTCCTTCAAGGAGTGTTCATCCTTCTCGATCTTTTTTCCCCAACGTTGTGCTCCTTCTTTTGGGCTGTAACGCACGCCTTTCGTCCATCCAGACTCTCGTTAGCATTCTCACCAGGACGATATTATTTCGGGCCGTATCTGATAAGAACAACAACAAAATGTCTTTGACCTACTCCGATAACCTGGCTCCTCAGCCGTCCACCGATATTTTTACCAGTGACACCAACATCGACAGGCGCAAGTGCCACCGCACTGTGCCCATGAAGGTGCTTGCTCTCGGTGTTGGCCGAACAGGAACAGCTTGTATGTCAATTCCAGGTGTTCGTCTGCACCAACCATGACTGACCCGATTTTATTGAATAGCCCTCCGCATTGCTCTTGAACGCTTGGGCTACCTCAAATGTTACCACATGATGTCTGCCAGTATGGAGAACCCTCCTGACTGCCTGATGTGGCATGACGCTCTCCTCGCCAAGTATGATGGTGTGGGTGAATTTGGCCGCAAGGAATGGGACCAGCTTCTTGGAGACTGCCAGGTAAGTACCCTCTGCGTTGGTGCTCCTGGATATTTGTACTAACTCATCACCAGGCTGTTTGCGACTGGCCCGCTTGTGCTTTCGCTAAGGAGCTTATTGAAGCCTACCCCAATGCAAAGGTCATTCTGACCACTCGTGAGGTGGACTCATGGCACGCATCCGTCATGAAGACTGTCCACTGGCGTGTGTCTGACCCCGAGCACAGCTTCGTTTCAAACTTCAGCTGGGCCGCCGGCATGTACTACCCCATGCTGAACAAGTTCTTTCAGACCTTTTTCCGCGGCGACTTCCCCAACAAGGGCAAGGAGGTCTACGAAGACCACGTCGCAGAGGTCCGCGCCCTCGTTCCTCCAGAGAGACTGCTCGAGTACAAGATTAGCGACGGCTGGGACCCGCTGTGCGAGTTCCTCGGCGAGGAAGTTCCAGACACTGCATTCCCCCGTGGAAACGACATGGCCGACTTCTTCAAGCGCTGCCGTGGCCGTAACCGACGCCAGATGGCCAACGCCGCTCTCCAGGCTGTTACTGTGGGTGGCACGATCATTGCTGCCGGATTCGCTGCTACCATGGCATTCAAGCGCTTCTCGCGGTAGATCGGTTCATTCTTTGAGCCTTTTCTTTTTTTTCAACTTCTTCACTATGGCCTACGCTGGGCGTATGGTCATGATCTTTTAGCCTTCATACCTCCAGTTCTGGGACTTGTTTCTTTTTTCTTATCTCTCTTTTTACGCCCAGAACTTGATAATATCTCGCGTTTGTCCGTCGTTATATCTCACTTATACCAATTAGCGGCTTTTGGGGGTATACCATAATACTAGCAATATAGTCTACTGAGACAGGTGTGATATGACCCCCCGCCTGCCTACGATAGATATCACAAAAGGAAAGGAAAAAATACTATAGAATTTCTACATATTTCAAACAAATCACTTGGCCGTGAGATCCTCGTTACTGTAACTTCCTGTCTATTCCAACACCCTGACTTCTGAGAAACCCCGCCATACCAAGGCCGCACGGTGCCAACTGCCAATGGCATAGGCAATCAGCCAAGAAAGCACCCGAGCTCCAAAACCGACAGAGCGACCCTCCAAGTATGTTTTGGGGGAGCTGGGAATCCGGATTCCATATCTTGGCCAAAGCAGGAAGTAAACCTTGTCAGTGAGACATGGGTTGGGACAATCCACAAATGATCGATCGCACAGCAGCAGGAATGAGAGTTGGCCGAGCACCAACCCTTGCGCCTTACGAGGCTAGCGATCTGCTAACTCCAATTGCAGGATTCGGATTCACTTTCCTGTCGGTTCAGTTTCAGTTGCAGTTGCGGTTGGAAATTCCCTCGCGCACTCGGTTCGAGCGAGTCCTTTTTTTTAAACACTGTCGCTAGCTTGGCATAAGCATACCGGCGACCGCAATCTTGGTCGACCTATGTATAGACATGGACTGACAAAGTCTGGCAAGCATGAGCAAGTTACGGCGGAGATGCAGGCGACAGAGTTCCAACTTGTCCCTCTGAGATTAAATCACCGATAACATTGTACTTGGCCGGCCCACATCCATTCTGCTCGGAACCTCGATCTGAGCGCCCGCTGTGTGCCAATCTCGAGGTTGGTGTTTGAAGCAGGTCATTGTAGTCGTGACGTCTGGCGGCCAACGCCGGATGCAAATAAATGTAACCATCCTGTCGCCTGGTCCGTGTGGACTGAGGTGTTGACCGAATCCTTCTGCTCTGGGAGAACGAGTTCGGGCGTACTGCACTATTTTGCGGCTTATTTTTGTTCGATTCGGTTTTAGTACATTATGATTATTTCCGAGTTTTCCAGTAATTGTCCGTGGATAGGTCATTCTTATCTCCGATATATATCCAGCTATTCGCGGCCGCATGCACGATGACGAGGCCAGAACGATTGAGCTACACCCGCTGCAGGGAGACGCAAGTAGTCATGGAACGCCCATACTCAAAGGTGTTTTGCATGCTGCATGACTCTGTATACTTTAAAAACCCGGCTGCCTAGATAGGTCGCAGAAACCACTGCGAGGGACAGCATGCCAGCGACTCGAACATGTCGTGTCCATTGGCATGGATACATCGCTGTCTCCTTGTCGGTTGTTTACGAACGCGAATTACCAGCATAATTCCGAAGATCGAGTCCTGAGTCCAGAATAATTCATTTCATTATTTCACAACTAATATCCGTACCTCGTTGCATGTGGAGACGCCGGTTACTTCAGCCATTTCTTGGCATCGAATGTCTGGATCTCCCCTTCTCCACCCGCGCTTCCGCACTCGATCTCTATTATTATTCAATACGTGCATGCACACAGCTTACGTCTGACCAGGAACACCCACAGCGGCGCGCAATTGGAGCGGATACAAGTCGACGTATGTCTTTTTCCGTTACCGACTGGACCACGCGGCCGTCAACGTCTTCGGTTAGGCGGCCCCAGCTTCCTTGGCCATGCGTCCCCTCCCAGGAGGGCCCATGGTTAGTCGCCTTAGTCACTTTAGCGCCGACTCCACGTTCGGTAATTACGATACGGACATTTCGTTTATTTCAACCTCTTGGCTTGGCTCCATGTATCGCTTACCAGCCAACTTTCTATAGTAAGTATGACTTACGCATGCCGTCGCAAAGTCTTGTTTGGCAACTGACGCATGCCAGTTGCTTACTAGTAGTATCTGACACAGGGAGACTGCCCAAAACAAGACACCAACCTCGTGTCTCCTTGCCGGATTGAGACTACATTCGCTAGTGCAGCAGAAAGTTCCAAAAGCGCCAATCATCACTTTTGATGAAGCACCTCTGCCAGTTGAAGCAACCGGAGTTTCTAAACGGCGTGGGGCAGCACAGTGGGTTTCCAGTGGATGGGTGTGTACGGCGTATGAACTGTTTGGTCCATTATTATCCAGACGCTTGAGCCACGACTGCTGCTGTGCTTAACCGCTCGAACTGGAATCCCTGAAGCACCATGCTGGCGGCTCACAAATCCGTAACTGGAGTCACCTCCTATCCAATTCGCGATGATCGCGAGTCTGTCCTTCCCCTTAGAATAAAACTTTCAACCCTCGTCGATTCTCTGACGGTTTGCTGCTCGTCTTAATATCATCGCGTCGATCTTCCTACCTGGAGCTTGTGCTACTTGCGGTGTACTATCTGGGGTGCAATCCCTGTAAGAAGTACGGTATATACATTGAATACCTCCTCGAGCCCCTTATCTGGCAATACCTCGCTCGTTCTCACTCGGTTTGGTTTTTGGGCCACCCAGACCGGGTGATGTGAAGAACTCATGCCTTTCCTCCCGGCCATCACTTTGGGATCATCTGCCCCTTCCCTCTTCTCGATTACTTTTCTCTTGATAGCTGTATTGAGCGGATTACAGGCAGTATCCGCAGAATTCGACGCAGCTTTCAAATCGGTAGGCGAAGTCGCTTTGAAGTAACTGGCGATGGTTGCTAATCCCTACTACGTACAAGCGCCCCGACCTTTTCTCCCCGATTGTCACCTTCGAGCGCCGCATTCCGCAAAAACTTCATCCTGGGTACATTTTTATCGGGCCGTACGAGGCAACGAACTCAGGTCCTTATATTTACGATAATGATGGGGTATGTTTTGAAATGGAGGATGTATAGCTATACGAGTGGTTGACGCTAATGCCGTCGATCACAGAACTTAGTTTGGAGCGGTTGGGGCAATTCCGGCCCTGGGAATGCTCACGGCATGCACGTATGCGAATACAAGGGCAAAGACCACTTGTGCTTTTTCCAGGGGGTTCAACAGAATGGCTATTGCAGGGGTCATGGCGTTATCATGGACAGCCATTACCAAATCGTCAAGACCGTGGTCCCCGGCGGCGGCATGGCATCGAGCGACATGCATGAGTTCAAACTCGTTGACGGCGGCAAGCGGGCCTTGCTGACGGTTTACCAGCAGCGGCAATTTGATATGAGTATATGGAACATAAAAAAGGGCATGGGCTGGTTGATGGAAAGCGTATTTCAAGAGGTGGACGTCGAAACAGGCAGGGTTTTGTTCGAATGGAGATCGCTCGACCATGTCGACCCGTCTGTTAGCTATACACATCCTGGCTCTACGGATACTTCAGGCACCGGGCTGGAACCGCGCTCCCCGTGGGATTACTTCCATATCAACTCAATCGATAAGGACGAGGGGGGGAACTACCTCATTTCGTCGCGCCACACTTGCGCAATCTACAAGATCTCGGGCCGTGATGGATCTATCATCTGGCAGTTGCATGGCGCGACGCCATCGTTCAATAATACTAATTTCAGTTTCTCGCAGCAACATGATGCGCGGTGGATGAGTCAAAACAGAACCCATACCCAGCTCTCGCTGTATAACAACGGGTACAACGGGTACAACAGGACGCATTGGTACTCCTCAGGAATGATTGTTCTAATCGACCATATGAACAAGACAGCCACGCAGCTGCAAGACTACGGACCAGATAAACTCAGCATGATCAGCTCCAGCCAAGGCAACATGCAAGTGCTATCGAACGGAAACATTTTCATGGGCTGGGGAAACAATGCCTACCTTTCCGAGCACGACGAGGAGGGCAATCTGCTGCTATGGGCCAATATCGGAAAGGGCAATATCATGAACTATCGAGCCCAGAAGTTTCGCTGGGTGGGAAATCCCACCGACATCCCAGCTCTCTGGACATATTCCAAGGGCAGCTATAATTCCACCGCGACGACCTTTTACGCCAGCTGGAATGGCGCAACGCGTATCAAATACTGGCGATTCTACGGCACGAACAACTCCACTGGCAACTATACACTCCTCCACCGCGTCCGCAAGGACGGGTTCGAGACCTCGTACACGGCATCTGAATTCTACCGCTATAGTTATGCGGAAGCAGTGGATTCGCAGGGGAATGTTCTCGGTAGATCGCGCAAACAGTTTACCTTTACCCCGTCACCGGGCCTCCAGGAAAACTGCGAAGAAACCACCTGCGAGAATACATATTACTACGGCGATGGCGAGAAAGGCGCAGCGGCAACTGTCCCCGAGGTCGGGCTCAATACTGTTCCCTGGGTGGACCCCGACCATCCCGGAGCGCATCTCAACTGGGGGAATACAAGGCCTACAACAGCTCCCGAAGATAAAAACCCGGGCGCTTTGGAAGAAGCATACAGTAAGTCGCCCACTTTTACTTGGCGAAAAGAAGGAAAGAAAGAAGACTAACAGCTCAGACCGCGTAGGATGGTTCGCACCGACCATGGGTGTTCTCTTCACCGGGATCGGCATCTACATCGTGCTCAGGGTATATCGAAAACACCAGTTCTCCGACAGAGCGAGACGAAGCTCGTCGGAAGAAGAAGACTTGGACCTGGACGGGGCCCGCGAGGCGAAAGCTTCATTCCGAGTTTCGAGTTTGCCCTGGTGGAGCTGGCGCCGCTGGACGGCTGGTGAGCCAGCGCGGTACTTTCCTCTGTCAGAGAGACGTGGACGTGCGTGGGATAGATAGTCTGCGATGCGGACAGTTTGTAGTATAGATCTTCGTGTGTATATAGTACCTTTGATTACTTGTTGGGTAATCGCACCCACGAGGAAGCCAAACAACCTTCCAGAACCGCCTTTCCACTTTTCCCAGGAGTCTTGCGATCTTCAGGGTAGGGTCCCCAACCAGAGGAGATTGAATTAAGAAGGCCAGCTGGCGCTTGTGCATAATGCAGATCAGGGCGGCTGAAGGAAAGGTTGAAACTGGGTGTGCATGGGGATGATTGGGACAGATTGGAGAAGATGACAGCTCGAATATCGCGGTATTGCAAATACGGGGGGTATGGTACGGGTGGAGACCGCGTCGCAAGCTCCCGCACTCGATTATTTTAAAATTAACCCATACTGAAGAACATGTAACTAAATGTAACTAAGTGTAAACCAATGACGCGGGCACTTAGGCGTGCCGGCAGTCGAAGTACTCCGTAGCAGAGAAAAAAGAATATCCTGACAGCTGGTTTCTTTTTGATTAAGGAGAGTGCTGGGACGAGATTGAGAGAAGCGAACAGCAACAATAATAGAAAGACAATCGGCCTTCCATCGGGGCGACTGATCGAGTAGCGGCAGTGTTGATCCACCCTGCACCTGCACCTTCCTCATCTTCACTTCCAGCTCCTCGTCGCAGTCCTCTCTCCGCCACACCCGAAAGAGCTGCTGCCTTCCACTCGTTCTCGTCCTGCATTTCTTTGGTTCTTGCGCGCTCTATTTTAATTTTAACGTTTATTGCTGCTTGGCGGATAATTCTCCGTCTTCCACTCCCTCTCTTCGCCTCTGACGTCGCCTTGTGCGCTAGCTCCTCCAAACGCGCCAGTGCACCTCTCTTAGCCTTCTCAAACACCTGCCCCAATGACTGGGCCCAATCGGCAATCGTTGGCTGCTTTTGTTTCACCTGACGACGACAGCAGCGAGCCCTCTCCATCGAGTGCTAGTATCCAGGTTCCTAAAAACCGGAATGCCCGCCATTCCCGCAACATCTCTTGGGCTTCCGGTCACGATCAAGGCGGCGAACCATCCTCCGACTCTTCCTACCCTCAGCCACGCCGTCGCGGGGAATCTAACGTCTCTCTCGCTCACGTCTCAGAGGGTTCTTCCTCTGGCCCCCACGACGACGATAGTGCAATGGCCCTGAGGAATACCTCTTTCGAATGGAACGACTCCCACGGCAACTCTCGACATATGCGCACCCGCTCCCAAAGCCAGCAGCTGCCGAACTTCGACCTCAACCGGGTCGAGATGTCTCCCCCACGGCCGACTCCGGGCCCCGTGACATGGATGTCGCTGCCGCGCAAGAAGCAGCTGGCTCTGCTCGGTCTGTGTCGGGTGTTTGACTTTCTACAGATTGCGTCTCTGCAGGCGTACATGTTCTACCAGCTCAAATCCTTTGACGAGACCCTCTCCGATTCCGACGTTTCTACCCAAGCCGGTATCCTCCAGGGTGCGTTTACGGCCGCCCAATTTGCGACAGCCATTCCCTGGGGTCGTGTTGCTGATGCGGAGTGGGGAGGACGCAGGTTCGTCCTCCTTGTTGGGTTGGTTGGGACTGCGGTCTCTTGTTTGGGTGTTGCCTTTGCGACCTCGTTCGCGCAGGCTGTGTTCTGGCGGTCGTTCGGTGGTGCCATTAACGGGACAGTGGGTATTATCCGGACCATGATCGCGGAAAATGTGAGGGAAAAGAAATACCATTCTCGAGCATTCCTGATTCTTCCTATTGGGTTTAACGTGGCTGCTCTTTTTGGGCCTGGTAAGTTTACTGCCCCATGGCATGGCGCGTGGTTTGTTCGGTTAACTAATGGGCAATTGCAGTCATGGGCGGAATGTTCTCCGACCCGGTCAGAACCTATCCTACTCTGTTCGGTCCCAATTCTTCGTTTGGGGGTGAGAATGGGGTTCAATGGCTTATGACTTATCCTTACGCGTTGCCCATGTTGGCCAATGCGATTTTTCTCACTTTCTGTGCCGCTTGTGTCGCCGCTGGTCTTGAAGAGGTAGGTCTCCCTCTCCCTTGTTATATGAATGTCGGCAGCTAATTAGAAATCGCAGACCCTGGAGGCGTGCAAGGGAAAGCCTGGCCTCGGTACATATTCTCTGCGACTTGTTGCTCGTGTTATCAGAGCTGCAGTCCCGTCATCCTCGCCGCTGTATTCTAGACTACCTTTCGCCGATTACGAAGAGTCCGGGCCGCTGCTTGGAAGGGCCACCGAGTCGTACGAACTTGAAGAGAAGACGGCAAAGCCTGGACGTCATGCTCCTCGCATCTTGCCATTCCGACGGATCTGGACCAAGAACGTCTTCTGCACCCTATTAGCTCAAGCGTTCTTCGATTTCCAAATGGGGTACGTTAGAACAATTCACATCTGATCGAAAGCAGCGTGTCTAACCTAAGCAGTGCTTTCAACAACCTTTGGCTCCTTTTCCTCTCCACGCCTCGGTACGACTCGAACGATCCTGCTAGCCCCGTGCAGAGCCTGCCTTTCATTTTCACCGGTGGATTGGGCATGCTTCCGCAGAGTGTCGGCTTCGCAACCGCAATTCTCGGTGTAATCGGAATGATACTCCAATTCACCATCTATCCCTCCATCAACAGCCGCCTAGGAACGGCCAAGAGTTACCAATATTTCCTAACACTGTTCCCTGTCGCTTACGCCTTCGCGCCTTACATTGCTCTAGCCCCGTCGAGCACACCACCCCCGAACCAAGCCAATGGTGGCTGGGTTTGGTTCTCGATTATCGTCGTTCTCTTCCTCCAGGTCACGGCACGAACATTCACCCTCCCGACCTCAATTATCCTTCTCAACAATTGCTCCCCACACCCGTCCGTCCTAGGAACCATCCACGGCGTCGGCCAATCCGTCTCCTCTGCCTTCCGTACGATCGGGCCTATCTTCTCAGGTGCATGGTACGGTTATGGTCTGGAGATCGGCACCGTTGGGTTTGCGTGGTGGTTAATCGCTCTCGTTTCCGTGTTCGGCTGTTTCGCAGCTGTCTTCGTCTACGAGGGGTCAGGACATGAAATATTCCTTCCTGGTGAGGAGGAAGATATGTGATTGTTTTCATGTGACATGGTCACATAAACACTTCGAGTATATATATATATTTCCTTGTTTATTTTGGATCATCTATATATCTGTTTCTGATGATGATGGCATCCTGGGGCCACTTGTACTGTATATATGGTGGACAAGTGCATAGTTGGTGTCTTGCTTACCTTCTTTGCTTTGTTTCCATTTGTCTTATCTTGTTTTACTTTGCATCTGCTTTCTGTTTTATACCTCTACTCGCTTGGCTTGGTTATGTTACGGATGTACGAAAAGATTCTTGAAAAGGAAGAGGATGTGTATGTGAGTTAGATCTGGATACATAATACATATATAGACTGCCATGACATCGTCACATATTAACAAACCATAAACCAAGAGGCCGTAATCGTAATTGCTAGGGAAAAGCAATGAAAGGTGAAGTACGTGTGTAGTAGTAATCTACCGCTTCAACGCCGCGAACCGTCTCGACAACTCATCCACATCCGGAATCCCACTCTTGTCTCTCCGCTGCGCACTCGGACTAGGACTCGGGCTCGATACCCCAGGCCCACCCCCGCTCGACGAATCGCCATCTTTATCATCGGGAACCTTAACTCTCGGATTCGGATTATCAGATCTTGGTCCCGGCGGCGCAACACTCACGGGGCTCGACTGTGGATTGAATCCCCTCGGCGGCGTGGCGCGCGTTAACTCTGCAGTTTCAGATGCCCGGCGGACAACCTCGCCAACCCGTACCTGGTCGTCGAGATCTCCACCTTCGCCGCCATCTCCTGCGAAATCGCCAGCATCGACATCCGGAATATCCCCTTCAACTTGCGACTCCCCCTCCGTCTCGCCCCAGGGAACTTTATACGCTCGCGCAATCTCCTTCAGATAACTCTCCACCAATTCCGCGCTTGGCGGGCGCACCCGTAGCCCCTTCACTAGACGCTCTGGGACCTTCACGCCCGCAAGTTTATTCTCCGAGGCGAGATTCATAAAGTCTTTCCCGTACCGGTCTGCGAGGAGGGAGCGCAGGAGCGTAAGCTCGCGCACTTCGGTTGGGAAACGCGACCATGCATAGAGGATAGCCGTTGCGGCTTCGTCGAGCGCCGCATCGAGATAATATGCTTCGTCTCCAGTCGCATCTTCACCTAGCGACTGTGTCTGTGTATCTTTCCCTGTCGTCGTCGGTTGCGGCTGTTGAGATGTCTGTTTCGCGGCGCCAGCGCCAAAGATCCGAAAAATACCTCCCCCTCCTCCTCCCCCACCGCCACTCTTAGAGTCCCCAGCCGCACCCCCAGCAACCTTCCCCTGATTCTGCGCAACAGCCTCCTCCCTTACCCTTGCGCGCGCGCGGGCCCCACTCTCTCCAAACGCAAGGCCATCCAGCACGCCCGCGCGGGCAAGCAGCAGCTCGCAGTAAAGCTCCACCATCTCCATGACCTCGACGGCGATATCGGTAGCGATGACATTTTCGACGCGGATGCGCGCGGACGCGTCGCGCTGGTTCTCAAGGAGCTGGGCAAGTTCGCGGCGCTGGACGACGGAGGAGGCGGTGGATTTCTTTTGGAGGAGGCGCAGGCGTGGGATTAGGAGGTGTAGGGTTGAGGTTAGTTTTGCCTGGTGATTGTGGAGAGGGTTTTGGTTAGTGGTTTTGTTGGGTTGGTTGGTTGAGGGGGAGGGAGGTGTTGGAAGGGGTGTGGTGTGGTGCGGGGTTGATGGGATGGGGGAATTTGGGGTGGAATGGGTGGGAGGGGATCGTTCGTGGGGGAGAGTTGGTGTGTGTCAGGTTATTAAGGCTTACTGTTTGTGGCGAAGGCGGCATTTTTGGTGGTTTATAGAAGTTGATGAGGTGGTGAGGAGAGTAGGAAGGGAATTTGGGGTGTTGCTGTTAGGAATGGGGAGTCCTGGTAGGCAGATAAGATACCGCGGGGACGACTCCGCCTCAGGCATCATTCATCTATACGACGTCTAAGTAGCCCGAACCACGATGAATCACGTAAGCTATGCATGTGTGAATTATAATTATGAAGTATAGGTTGGTCGGCAATATTTATACTTTCTCGCTGCTATGAACAAAAGTAGAGTATGCTATGCATGGAACGGCCAGTCAGACTGGGCTGATGAAGCCCGTAGTAAATCATCATCCAATCAATGTACAAGAACGTTAATCATAAGAGGTATCCCAAGAAGTAAATCAATATCAAGGTATAAAAAAAAGAGGTATCCAAGAAGTGAAGTAGAAAAATTGAAGTGTCAAATAGGTATCAAGAAGAAGGGAAGGAAGAAAGAAGTTGTCAAAGCAGTAGATGATATATAGGCTATAAGCCTGATGCCGAATGGTGTATGATCACCGGCTAGAATGTAAACGCAGCCATGGCAACGACGGCAAGGAGGGCAATCATCGCGTTCTGGCTGTTCTTTTGAGCGCTCGACGTCGGGCTGGGGTTTTCTTCTTCAGCGGCGCTGGTCGAAGAGGCAGGGGCTGCGCGGGCGCCAGTCTCGACAAACACATGTGGGCTGTAGGTGTAGTCGGGCCAGCCGCTGCTGCTGGAGCCAGAGGGGGTCTGTTGCGTGGAGCTCGAGGAGATCAACTCTGTGGATGAAGTCGCTGCGTGGGTGGTAGAGCTGCTGCTGCTGCTGCTGGTGACGGTGCTGGTGGATGTAGGAGCCTCGGTGGTGGACGAAGAGGTCGTCGAGGAAGAGGTGCTGGTGGATGTCGAAGTCGGCTCGGCAGTGCTGGTGCTCTCTTCCTCGTCGTCATCGCTGCTGCCACCGCTACCACCGGAGCCGTCAAAGATGACAATCCTGGCCGTCTCGCCCTTGGGAACGGTAACAACACAGAAGCCGCCAGTACCCACATCATCGGTTGAAGAGCCCGACACCTCGTTCACGTCATTCACAGCCGGGTCGATCTTGCATGGGAGACCGTTGCAGTTGCCACCCTCACACTCGACTTCAATTCCGTAGTCAGGTCTCGTTTTGCGGAACAAGACGTTTGGCTCCATGTAGACCGGGTTCCACCCAATCTTGACGAACGTATTCCCAGTGCTATCGGTGTTTGCACCTGCAGTGTAGGCAGCCCAGTTACCCACAGGCTCGGACGAAGTACCCCAAACGCAACCAGTCTCGGGGCTCGTTCCAGGAGGGTTGATGTAGAAACTTGAAACGCAGTCAGTATCAGGCGGCAGAGAGCGGTTCAAAATGGACGACTTACTGGGCAGCAGTTTCACACCAGTAGCTGGGATCCGGCACAGCAAGAGTTGCCACGCTTTCAACCAGGGTGGGAATCAGCATAGCCTCATTACCGGGCAAGACGGTCTGACAGATCGAGACCTGACCGCCGGCCTTGTTATGGGCCTTCACAGCCCCAGTACCGTCCGAGCAGTAGGGCTTGTTAGGGAAGGGCTTCTCGATTTCGCCATCCTCATTGCAGTAGAGACCACCGTTCTATACACAGTCAACATGTGTGCCAGGTTACTCGGGAGTAATACAACTTACCATAGATAATGGAGAGGGATACGAGGTTGCTTCCGGGTCCCACTGCATCGACACCTGGCCGGGAGGACAAGCGTAGGGGCAATAGTTGCCCGGCTCGCAAGGCTGATCAGGGCTCATGGCCCAGCCACGGTTCATGGAGCCTGGGGTGACGGACACCAAGCCAGCATCACTGGGAAACTGGCACTTGCCGCCTCTCTTCTCGTGCACATCCTTCTTGTCATGATGGCGGTGGTGCAGGTGGCGGTGGTTGTGCGGCGAGGCCTCGGCGGCGACGGCACAAAGCAAAGCGGAAGCGTAAATGAATCTCATATTGAAGCGAATTGAGCCTGCAGTGCTTGCTATTCGGAGAAAAGGAGAGAAATGCGCGAGCGCCACGGGGTGGAAGCGAGTCCACCGAGAAAAAGGAATAAGAATTGAAGCAACCTCGTGGGAAGCAGAAAGGGGGAAGAAACGAAAGACTATGGTCAGGACCCTGATAAGTGATAACGAACGACTTGGGGTGGGAAAAGAGAGGAAGAGGAGGAAGAGCTGGGGACTAATACGAGGTTCAAACAAAGGCGAGACCCCGGCGGCGCCAGGGCTCGCAAGCGTGCACAGTCACATCCAGTTTCGGCCGTCTCGGTCTCAGAGTGTGAGAATCCTGGGACGACTGGAGGGACAGCAGGAAAAGGATCCACAGCCGGACCAGGGCACATTTCCTGTTTGGGCTTACTTCGAGGCTATTTACACCCGACTCAGGGGTACGGCCCAATCAGCAGCGGGCTCTTTCTCGTGATCCCCCGCGGTTCGTGGACGCCGCAAATTGGCTCCAGTTCAACCGGTCTCCCACCCGCCAATCAGCGTTGTTGCGCCCTCGTACTCCGTTTCTCGTCACTCGTGTGATCACAAAGAGCAAACACACACCTGAGGCAGAGCTGACAGGGAAGACCCCAATGGCAAGGGGCTGGCTACGGGAGCAGCTCATCATGTCTGTCAATGACTGTCATACATTGTGCTTCCAACTATGCGCTGTGAGAAGACCCTTATCACATGCTGCAACTGAACCCCGAGCACCATCCAAGTCCAATCAGTCTCGACCAGCAGATCGTCACTTCCGCTACCGCAATCCGATATTCAAACTCTGAAAAGGGGCCACATGGGTCAGCCTTACTCTTGCCTCGCTGAAATTTTATCAAAGACAGAACGCTATTGGTTGGTCTGCCCCAATAGTGGGCGTTAGGCTTGGAGTGCGGCGGAGCAGATCCGGCACTGCTCCGTGGTCCCTGAAGCAGACAAGCAGTTGAGTCTCGGTCTTCATCTTCACTGCCGAGGTCGATAAACCGAGCTTCCTGAGGCGGATTTCAGTCTGCAGACTGCTGCTCCAGCTCCCTCCATCCATTAAACCGAGTGCCGCCATCCCGCCATCCCCATGCGATGCAATAATGTTGCGCCAGCAATCTCCACTCCTCCATCTCGTCTAGCATCTCAAGCGCAGCCACCCGCTCCTTTTCCTCCTCAGCCACCCACCGCTCCCACAGGAAATCGATATCTGCTGCCGCCTGACCGCTGTCAAAGCCCTGCTCATGGAGGCGGTGCCGCTGCGCCTCCAACGACGCATACTTGTGGAGCGTTTGCAACTGGATCCCACGAGTCGCCAGGTTCGCGACCATCGTCCGCCCAAATGCGTCGTCAGGCCGGATAGGCTCGTATATGACCAAAGCCAGCGCTTCAGACATCTCATCCGAGGCGGGGAATAACGTCTGCGTGAAATATCGCACTACACCAGCAGCTTCGTCCGGCGCAAGATACACCAAACAGCACTCGGACAGTAGCAATGTAGGAAGCGTTGGGTTCACGAGCTCTTTCAGCCGATGGCTCCGATCTTGCGCGGGTGATGTGTTATTATTATTGCCCTCTCCCTCGCGTGCAAGCGCCCGTAGATCAACCGCATGGATATGGTAGGCAGGTGAATGCAACTCATCCCCTCCATCAGAGATATCGACTTCCTCCGGACGCCCTAGAGCTCGTTGTAGAAGCGGTGTCCCCCGGATAGCTTTGATTTTCGCGGCATTGTTAACCGCAAAGTCAATCTCATGGTAAACAAGATCCAGCGCCGGGCGCAGCGACAGAAGTCGGAAAACCCGCGTATCGGACCCAGCACCCAGCGAGATAATTTGTTTCTTCTTATTCTTCCATTCTGGGTCGGAATCTGCGGTAAGACCGAGGAATCGCGCGACAAGTTGGTCGATTGCTGTTGTGCGCACGTAGGTTCCTATTCAGCGCAAAAGATCGTGTCAGTGAAAACCAGCAATTTCATACGGAGGGGATAGTAGATAGGAGAATTACCTCTATTTATGATAGGTAGTCGTCTCGTCTCCTGTCCTGGGGGAGTCAATGCCCTGGCAAAGGGGTCCTCGAGGTATCCCAGTCCAACCGCACTCAGTCGGGAGACGCTGGCGTCACTGTCCGTCCCTTGCACCACGCGGTCTTTCTGGGCTGAACCGGATCGAGGGCCAGATCCAGGGCCTTCGTGTCCACCGCGACCGCGTAATCGACCGCGACCAGCGCCCCGGCGGAGGGTGTTGAGGTTGGGAATTTGAGAGGCAGACATGGCGGGGTCATGATGAAGCTTTGTTGTGGAGGGGAGCTCCGTCACTGCTGGTGGTCCTGAGGCGGGGTTTATGAACACGCACACAGTCCCTTGCGGCGTACGAACATGTGCCCGGCAATCTTAAAATAGCTGATTTTATGCTAAATCTACTGCGACTTAATGTGTGCATCATTGGATCTGCCGTTGTATTTTTAATCTATGCTACACTTACATAAGTACCAGCCGTATGGGCCCAGAAACCCAGAAACTTTTCCAGACCAAACCCTTCTATATAATATGAACCGTAATCTAGAAAGTAAATCACGCAAATGTAAACTGGTTCCGACACAGTGGGCAAGTGCTCTGGTTACTGCTCTTGAACCATCGGTACAGACACACCGAGTGGAAGGTATGTTTGCATGTTGCGCACCGTTTGTTCGGCGTCTGCATATCCGTCGAAATGACCGAGTAGCAAATGGCACACTCGCTCTGGCCCTTCAGTGCGCCCTGGACGTTCTTACGGAATGCTAGCAGCCCATCTTCCAGGTTGCCGTTGGCGAACATGATAACTCCCTGGATGGTAAGGAGCCAGCTCTTCCACTTCCGCTCGTCTACCAACACTCGGCTTCGGCCAACGACCAAGGCTGGGTGCAGCGGGTAAGCAGCGGGGAGGGCAATAGATATTGAAACAGGCGGTGATTCCTCGTCAACGGGAATACTCGCGATAATCTCGGCTGTTTTCGATGAAACCTTCACGTTCAGTGCGCGCTCCTCATCCGGGTCTTGTGTGGACATCCATTCGGTCACGCTTTCTAGAGAGTCGCTGATAACCAATGGCGAGATCTGGGGCCGTTGTCAGTTAAATACCTTCAATGGATGGCTCCATGATACTTACGAATTTTTCAGTCCAAGTTTCCACAGGCCCTTTGATGCGCTTCTTTGCGTCGATCCACCAGGCCTTGGTCAAGTTGGCGAGATGCCTCAAGCACAAGAAGTACAGGTGAATGAGCAACCACTGTATTTCCTTCTCGTAATCTTCCGACTGATCCAGTTCAAAGGCACGAATATCTAATTTCGACGCATCAACGAGCTTTCCGTGGCCCTTCTGGAGAAAGTCGAACATAAATTCTAGCAACGAGGGTAATACATCATGCTCCTTGATGTTAGAGGCGTACTGCTCTTGGAGGGCGAAAGACTGGAATATCCGTCAGCTAAGATGCTCTTCACTGGTTAAACAAAGCTGGAACCTACAGCGTTCGCAAAGTGATCAAAGACTAGCTTCCAGCTTAGGAGGTACGATCTTATATCAGCCCAAGTCTTGTCATCACCATACGACAATGATATTGAGCCCATTGTTGGCGCCCCCAGAAGCAGAGAAATTACTTCATAGGGGAGTTTGACTTCTGATTTCGATAGCGCCACATCAAGAGACACCTGCTCTTGTACACTTGGGATATATCGGTGAAGCAGGGTGAAAGCCGCATGCTGGAGAACAAGGCTATGGGCTGTCAATAGAGGATAGACCTTGCTAATATCCTCAATGTGTCCAGTTGGCATAGTCTTGATGATGCGACAGAGACGGTCAACAGTAAGGTCCCGTGGTAAGTGGAAGGTGGTTGAAGAGTCTAAATTTTGTCAGTACTACATTTATTGATAGGCATACTGAAGACTAACCAAATTTCCAAAGAGTTGATGTCAAAACGTTGAAGAGGGTTGACTTCCGGTCAGCCCACGCATCCTTCACATCATCGTTGCTCTCGTCATCCTCTACAATTGCCTCCAAACAACTGAAGAGTCGGAAGGATGAGTTCAGCACGGTTAATGCGCCATCTCCTCCGCCAATAGCCCGCCATGTCGAACTGAGAATATCCATGCATTCTTCCCAATGAGGGCCGTACATCTCCTTCACATTCGGAAGTGCCAAGGTTAGACTCTTGAAGATTTCTGTTTTGAGGCTAAGACTAATGTGTTCCGACTGGAGGCACTGTATCAAATGCTTGACAAAGAATATCAATCGTTGCGTCGGCATTGAAGCCATTGGGTTCATTTCTTCTTCATCAGATAGAAGTAGGTTGAGCAGGGATAGCTTTCGGAGACCTTTATCTTGTCAGTAAGGGTATTTTTGAAACAAAGGTAACTAGAGTTACTGACCATTCATCGTCTCACCCTCAACCTTTAACCCGGTAGAGTCCGCCACAAATTCATTACAAACTCGAGTGCCGGCTGGGTTGGTTAGTATGGAACGTCGCAAGACGACTACCCAACTGGCTGAGCGAATAGCATTGGCGGTTCGTATTTCTTTGCACAGTTGTCCAACCATCTCAGAAGAGTAGTGTATATCAGATGGGTCCATGCCATCCAGGATTTTCACAAAGGCTTCTCCAACTCGGTAAGCCGATGGCGAAGTATCATCTAGCTGCTCGACTCTCAATTTCCAAACCGAAGCAAGGGAAGATGCGATGGTTTCCTCCGTGGAACGAATATTCTGGGCTGACGAGGACCAGTTACTGATGATCTTCCGTGCGTCATTCACGATATCCCGGTATTCTTCTCGTAGCTCGTGAGTCAGTGGTCCTGCAATAAAGTTGTATCTTTCAATGTCGAGGTCGTCCTCAATTAGCTGCACCGCCAGAGGTAGGTTAGAAAACAAAACCTTGAAGCCGTCCATGTCGAGATGTTCAGTAAAATCAAACGACGATAGTAGCCGAACAGTAAAATGGGTTAGTCTAAATGCAGTTGA